GATAGGTAACCATATCTTAATGTACATCGTGTAGGAAACGGCAATTAGGTTACGCAGTCGTTAAGTCAACTTTTAATTACAAGGTAGGTACATGCAGAAACTTCAAACTAAAAATTATGCATTGCTTGAAAATTCTCTACCTCGGAGAGCATTTCGTAAAAGGAAAGAGGTAAAAAATTTTCAACCGTAAACGAATAGGTACTTAAAATCAAACGTTATAAAACTGAAAATGCTTGACATCAAAGGTGAGGTTGGTATATTTGAACTACTTAACTGTCGCAAAGTTGCTTATTGTAAACTGGTTATGTTCAACTAACCTTGTTGTACGCTTGAAGAGCTTTCAATAAATTTTCAGCTTTGACATGACTGTTGGCTTCTTCGTACCACAATTTCGCTTCCTTTTGTTGGTATATTAGTTTTACAATGGACTCGCTGCGACCTCGTTGTTTATTGTTTGACATTGTCTGACATTATTCCGTGGCCCCTGAAGAAAAAACAGAAATGACTTCATTGAATAGAAATGAGTTTCTTTTCTTTGAAATTTAATATACATAATATTTGCAAATACGAAAGAAAATTGTTGAGCCAAAAATTAATAACTAGCAGCATACATGAATAAACAGGAGGCTTTGACTTTCACAGTGATTGGTTAAAACACGAGTCAGAATTATGCTGAAAAATAAAACGAGTGACGGACTTTACAATACTATGGTGCCGTTTTATATTTTTCCTGTGAAGATGGCACATCTTCTACCTTCATATAATGAATGCAGTATCGTTATAGACGTATGAAACATTTTGTGGAAGACCTGCAAACACGTGCTGTGGAAATACTCACAAAGCTCAATGACTGGTTCAACTTTAACAAGCTCTTCCTAAACCATAGTAAGACGTACTGCATCCTATTTTCTTCGAGATCGGGCAAAAATGCTCTAACCTGTCCGCCAATCGTCAACATAACAATGAACCTGCAAAAAACAGGACCTAGGTATGTGTGTCGACGCTAACCTCAACTGGAAATGTCACTGTCTGTGTTTAATCAAAAAACTTAATACTTGTTGTTTTCAAATTCGCAGTATCAAACAACTGATTGGGTTACATTATACGCTCTCCTACTACTATGCCGAGGTTCAGTCGAGATTGTGTTATGGCATTATTTTCTGGGGATCATCTACATGCGCATCAAAAGTGTTTATGGTGCAGAAAAGAATACTGCGCTGCTTGGTGGGTATGAAGAATTGGGAATCATGCAAAACCCACTTTATTCAGCTTGGTCTTCTCACTCTGCCGTCTATTTTCGTACTGGAGGTTTTATTGTACATATATAAAAATCTTACACAATTACAACACAAGAAGGCAACGAGATTTCTCTGTGCCGGTATCAAAACTCAAAGTATTCCAACAGTCACCCAATAGCATTGGCATTAAGCTCTTCAACAACCTCCCCAGCACCATGAAAAATATAGAGACTTTCAGGGAATTCAGGGTCAAATAAAAAAGTTATTAGTTCAAAATGCAATCTATAAAATCGACGAATTCGTAAACATCTGCAAATAAATTTATTTACTTTTTAATTTAAAAACTTTGTAAATTGCTATGTTACTATGTAATCTTTTTAGCGCATTTCCACAAAAAAAAAAAAATGCGCTATTGTGGCCACTTTGTCCGTGTGTCGTCCGTCCGTCCGTCCGCTCGTTTTGCGACGCTACTAGTTCTTTATCTAGCTATTGTTCTACTTTTTTCGCTATTTGGTTTGTTATGGTGTCGAGTCTTGCACCAAGGAAGGAATTTTTTCTGTACCGCTTACAAAAAAAGTTATTGTAAAAAAACCAACAAACCGTTTTTTACATGTTCCATAATTTTACACTTTTGCCGTTTATTAACCATCCTAGAGATAATTTTGTATTGTTGTCTGTCGTCTGTCTGTTGGTCTGTCCGTCTGTTCCTTTGCCTGTCTGCCCCTCTATCTGTCCGTGTGAACGATAATTTTGTTTGCTTTTGCTTTGCTTTTACATCTCCGTTAGTTATGAACTGAATTGCATGAAATTCAATATGGGCATAGCCTTAGCCATATAATACGCAATGCCAAAAGTTGAGTCGAATCGATTCAAAATTCACAGTGCCCTTTTCGCATCTCGACCATTTATAAACCGAATTCCAAACTTTTTTTCTTATAAAAGTATTTGAATGAAATTTGATACATAGGCACTTGGAATAAAGGAAAATCTAACGCCAGTTTCAAAATTTGGTTTTGCGCATGCGCAGTGCCAACTTTTTTATTTATGGAAGAATTTAAACGAAATTTGATACATAGGCACTTGGGATAAAGGAAAATCTAGCGCCAGTTTCAAAATTTTATTTTGCGCATGCGCAGTGCCAACTTTTTTATCTATGGGAGCATTTAAGTGAAATTTGATACTTAGGCGCTTGGAACAAAGGAAAATCTAACATTAGTTTCAAAATTTAGGTTTGCGCATGCGCAGTTCCAACTTTCTTATTTAGAAAAGCATTGAAATGAAATTCTTCTTATAAACTGAAATTGAAGTAGCACGTCAAAAATGGATTGCCCATGTGCAACGCTATCTTTCATATTTGTGGCCGGATTTTACGATTTTAACAGAAGTTGCATCTTACAAATGGGAAATGAATGCAAGTGGAAATGCGCTTTATGTAAATCGTTTACGATTACTTTTTAACTTGTTTTTTTTACTGTTCTGATTAGCCCTTACACAATGTTAATCCATTGTCAAAAGGAAACAATAAAATTGAATTGAATTGAATTGAAGACCTGCAATTCATATTACGGTAGGGTTGGGTTGAGACACATTTTAGAGGATGGACATTCTATTCAATATATAATGATTTATTTGTTACAATCGTTCTTTACGGACGTTTTCTCTTTTCGCAATCGCTTTTCTTCCAACGTTTTAGCAAGCTGTGCTTCTTTTTCTAACTTCAATCTTTCCTTCTCCTTACGGTGCCTTTCTTCCAAACGAGTGTACAGTAATTTCTTATTTTGTCCATAAAAGATACCCATTACTAACAGACTCCATCTACATGCCTGGATTACAATTAGTGAAGTGTCCCTTACTTGCCGGTGCTTACCTTTATGAGCGGAGAAACCGCTAATGGGTTGCCATAGTCGGTTCTCATAATTTCAAGATTGAACAAATTGGTTAAAACTGGCGAGTTGTCACTCTTTGACAGAAATGTGCTATGCGATTATTAGCTTGTCAAATTTGTACACAACAGGAACTACGCTCGAATATAGGGACGCAACTGACGACGGTAAAATACCAGAAACCTATAGCTCACTATAGGTAGAATGTTAATATAACCCAAATAGTGTATTTTAATCGATTGGAATGAGAGCAATTTAATTTCGAGACGTTTTCAAAAATCAAATTTCAAATTAATCTCGAAACGGAAAGTAATACAGCTCGAAATCATTCAAACGGCTATGAATTTTTCAAAATTAAGTGCATTACGTTTTGGAGGAATAGTTGTTACGTCGCACTGCATCGCCGCATTAAAATATACTTTTTTATTTTCTCGATAATAAATAACCATTATTGCTTTTTAAGAGAATGTGTTGCCCTCAAAAGAGACAAACTTTTCATCATACAAAGTGACATTTTTAATAATGCAGAAGCGTATGTGCGTATATTCCCGCAATAACGGATATTAAAGATACAGTTGGGGAAATACATGGCATGCAAAGAAAAGAATCAATTTTTGCGTTTGTATCTGTTCAGCAGGCAAATTTATAAATATTCTAGTATTATAAAAGTGCAGGAAACTAATTACAATGAAACTTTACCTCAAATTAGCCGTCTTCACACATCTTTTGACGTATACTTCCTTGGCACGACTCGATTGCTTAAAGTTTCTTCCAACAACTAACCCGGTATAATATACAACCGCTGCATTTCGTGTTCAAATTGCAAATATAAACCTTCGATGATTGATGGCACTAACAGCCATTGGTTACTGGGAAGTTTCTTATATTTTCCGCTTTATATAAACGGTACCAACCCTACCCGCAGGATGAATGTTACTCGTATTTATAGGAAAGCTTTCCGTTTTCGGAGACAATTTTCTATAGTCGCGAGGAAGTGTACCAATCGAATGCGAGCGGATGACAACTGATTACCTAAATCTATCTTACCTCAAACAAAACCGCAAACATCAACCCCCTGCTACCTGTAGCGGAATTAACCTACCACATGCAAGGATCTTACACGTTATCCAATAGCCGGTCTAATTTCTAAAATTGCATTCTGTTAACACTATATGATACTGTTTGCGGGATCTAGTAATGCAATAAGAAAAAACGTTGGCCTGAACCCTTTAATTGACATGCTTTACTTCCAAATTTATAATTAACATTCGCAGAAAATGTCGTAACATTATTGATACATTTAAAATTGTCTTTGCGACGACGACGGACACCAATTAAATCTCATTTGGAAATCCTCTGAAAGAGGTCGGCAGTGCCAGCCCTGACCATGGCCGCATTGGCTATGAAAAAACAGACAAACTTGTAGATTCAGTTAATAGAAAATTCGTGATAATCCCTCGAGGGATTAAAAAGACATTAAGCATGTACGAGAGATTGATGTATTTTACTTTGAAAGTTACGAATTACACGAACGAATTCATGTGCAAGGCAAATGCTATATAAAGTAATGGCTAATTTAGTTGTTCAGATATTGAAGATATTTTTTGGGTTAAAATTCGCGTGCCCCTTTTAAGCAATGTATACCGAAGACATGCAATACAAGTTATGCAGTATTTACTAAACTATATAACGTCTTGAGATAAATATAAACATGGCCGAGCTTTCTCTTTACGAGGTTCCCAGACAATGCATTATATTTTGAACACATAATTTTGGCCGAAAGCCGTTGCGTTTAAAGGGAAATAATAATACGACAATTAAGTCAGTACATATAGGGACACTATTTAGTTTATTCCCGAAAGCGCACTTACGTCCTAAATTCACAATTTAGATATCACAGTAAGATTTAAGGTTGCTTGTTGTACATCAAAAATTCGTAATTAAAGATTTATTTTTAATCAAGGTATTTTAAGTGGGACTACCAAACACTACACTTTTTAATAGGATTCATAGGTGATCCTAACGGACAATTAAAATCTCTAGTAAAATTTTCGGAATTGCTAAATGGTCCAATAATCCTGTACTCGGCAGGAGAATGCGGATCATGTTTCAGCAAGTACTTAAAGTACTTATCGGTATATTTTGAACACCATATTTGGGCTGCAGAAATCCAAAACATTTGATTCGGCGTATAATTCAATCCAGGAAGCTGTAATTCGGCTTTGTTGAGCTTGGCCCATTTGTTGTACGCCGAATATGCCTGTTTTATTCCACCATTATCAGCAATGTTTTCTCCTAAAGTATTAACGCCATTGATCTACAAATGACGTTCAATTAAATTACTATATATAGCGCAGATTCGCCCAAAAATCCCCTGGAGATATTCGCGACTTAACGCGAATATTCCTAGGAGTGTTTTTGGGAGCATTTTCTAATGCGAATGAGTTTTAATTACCGTTAGGTTTAATTCGGGAAAAGTATAGTTCCCATATTGCTCAATGATACACTGAGCTTTCTCTAGAAACGCCTTTTGGGTTTTATCACTCCACCAATTTCTCACGCAACCCTCCTTATCGCACAGCCTTCCTCGATTATCAAACCCATGCGTCATTTCGTGACCCACGATGAAGCCTACTACAGCGTAATTCATATAATTCGGACGATCTTTGTTAAAGAAGGCGCCTTGTAGTATTCCGGCAGGCAACACTGAAATTAATTAACATAAATTGGCACATTCCAGTTTGGACTTTTACCAATGCTGTTTTCATACGGAGAATAAAAGGCATTAACAACCGCTGGAAACGTGTGACTCAGCCAATCGGTTTTATTAAAAGGTCGATGCAGCTTCGAAAAGTGTTTGTCCATTTGAAATTTTCTTATCGACATCGCATTTTCCAGAAAAGTATTAGCGTTGATTTCTAGCTGAAAAAACTTGTAAATACCGTCCATATGTTACGCACAAAACCTTGTCGTAGTATTTCTCCACGTTGCTGTAGTCGAGAAGCTCAGAAGGATAGGCGATGTGTTTGACCATATTATTTACTTTTTCGATTGCGCTTTTACGAGTTTCGTCATCGAGCCAGTCGACTGTCCTTAACGTTTCAGAGAACTCGTTGAGTATGTTTTGGGCTAAATCTTCGGCTTGTTGTTTAGTTTGTTCGTTAAAATACTTTTTCACGTACAAATGGTCGAACTCCAATCCGATGCTAAAACATTTCTACTGATTATCTCTAGTTATCTCTATGCATACCCCACAACAGTAATCCTTTTACAATCACTCATGCGAGCTTTACTCGAAAGATCAAGTTTGGGAGTGGTATGATAGAGCGATCGTTTCAATCTAAGTCTTTCGTATAAATAAGGAACGAAAGTGTCCACAGTTTCAACAAACATATAGTTAGCAATTGTCCTAAAACACATTAACGAACTTGGACCTTGGTGAAGAAGAATCATTACCTTTTCGGGGTTTTTTCGAGCAACTCCTGTAACTCCTCGACGTACTTTGGCACTTGTAAGACGACTTGTTCACTATTGGTAATGTTGATGCTTGGATGGTTGACGACATTGCGAACCAGCTTCAGCCAATTAATTTTCGGGTAACTCTCTTGCAATTTTTCGATGCTGATTAGGATTCCTGATTTGGGTGTTTTTATAGTGTCCTGAGACATCTAACACACAAGCCTCAATATATTTAAATACATAAATATACCCACCTTTGCAAGTTTCGCTTTGAAATTGATAACATCTCGTACTTCATTTGATGCGGTTTTATTGTCAATTCCGAGCTCATCGGCTAATTCAAGTATGTATCTGTAATAAGCACGGACACTGAAATCGTCAAGCCCATTCAAAAATTTGTTATCATAATGGGCTTCGTCTAGCTAAACAAACAACGTACATTAGATCCGTGGCCAACGCTTTATCAACTTACTACCAAAATACGCCGGCTCATATTCCTTGAATCTATATGCAATGCAAGTGTGATAAAAAACTCATGTATACATCCATGTTTCCTAAATTCATATATTTGGTCATCCCACTCAAATCGGGAGTGGTTCCATTGACTACCTTCCAAAAGCGGCCACCCACCTAACCTTTTTAGTACCGCACTTACTGTTTTCAAACCATCTTCTTCGATCATGTTTAAATCCATGCAAGATTTGTACAGGGTATCTACCATTTTGCGAGGATTCGACGCATTCATTGGTAGCGGTTCATCAAACAGACCATTCAGTTTGTTATTAACAACTTCGCTGGCCGTCAAGAAAATGTTAACACCCTGTTTTCCATCGGGTATTATCGTATCCTTCACAAAATTCCCACAGGCAAATTTGTAAAAATTATCACATGGGTTTACTCCTGGATCCATGTGTATTAAAGTGGTTCCCGCGGAGTGTACGCAAGTGGGGGTGAAACAAACGTCTCTACAACTAAATATTTTAAAAGCGTTTATACGATCAAAATAAAGATAATTACTTATTTTTTCTGCCAATTGTGAACATAACTATCAATCCGATTAAAGTAGAGAGCAATAGGACAAAAGCAATTGTTGTAAGTATAACTAGTAGCTTTGTTGAGGTTTTTCGAAGCTGAAGAGGCTCGAAATGGCTAGAAAACAACAAAATCTTATCTCATGGGTGTATTAAAATAAATCAAAATAATCGATATAGGTGTAAATCTGTAATTGGAGTCTTGCAATGAAATGACCCATTTAAAATTTAACAGTAATTTAAAACATTTCCATTATGAAGTTTTATAACATTTAGACATAACTACATTATAATTAATTGTTACGTTTACTGCGGAATTTCATGTCTTATAAACTTATAAGTTACTTCAATATCCATAATAGTCATAAAATTTTGTGACAGCAATTAAGTCCACAATTGCCATAGCAACATCGATTATTTATATAAGGTAGGGATAACAAGATTTGACTATATTTCATACGAAAGTAATTTTGAAAATTCCACCCTACCAAATTAGGTTATTACCAAAGCATTTTTTTTCTATTGATGTTCCTTCTCGTGATAACGGCCAATAAACAGTGATTTTTCTCATCTTTGTCGTTTCGTCCAATAAACAATTTTTTATAAATGAAGGTTTGTGCAGTACGTAATCTTACGAAATCAAAGGTATATTTACCTATTTGGAACTTCCTTGCCCAATTCAGCTTTATCCATATCGAAGTCTTCACTGAGACGCTGTCGCGAAACGCAATTTTTTGTTGACATATATAACACTTGAAAAAAAGCATTAGTTATGGTAGTTAGTTTGTTAATAGGACGATAATGAGATCTAATACAAATAACAGGTGGTATACATTACATAACTTAATTGTGGTAGGTTTACCAGCTATTTCTGAGGAAAGTAAAATAATTATAAGAATTTTAAGTAAAGTATCTCGCATGAAAGATATCAATTTTCAAAATTTAAGTTCAATGCACAACCTGAAGATGTTATCCGATTTCCGTTCTTTTGCTATGCTTTTCGTTCTTCTGTCAATAGGCAACTTTTCCGCACTAAACGTTTCGAAAAAAAAATATTTTTTTCGACCCACCCTACTGCTGATTGCTCTGCGGATTGTTTGCTGATAGGGTCCTACGTACGTTTATGAATGGGTCATCCTGTACAAGCTCAAATTTCACGTTAGTAGACACCATAAATGCAATATTTGTAGTAAACATCATACTTCTTTATCATGGTGAAATATTAAGTCATGAGTTCATGACATATGTAATAAAATTAGTTGCAAAGCGGTATCTCAAATCAGCTCCATATGATGATGGCAGGCAGCAACGATACTAGCAATTACAGAGAAAACAAAGAGCTACCCATGTGTCCATACAGGAGATGAAAGTTACGAACCTAATCAAGGGCGTACTGAACATACAAACACAATACAAAAACCTATTGTTTAAATACCGCGTGCATACCTTACTGGGTACAAAGTATCCAAAATGAGTTGCTGCGAGTCGCCTTTGGAATTTTTGTTTACATGGGAAATTCCAAAGGCGACTCTCATTTTTGATCGACTTAGTGACAAGTTCAGGGGTTACATTTTCTCAAAATCATCCAAATTGAAGAAAACTTATTGACCACCTTCTTGTCTATGTATTTTTTTAATTTTATCAGCTTTTTCGTATGGGATGTTCTTTCTATAACATGCATGTGTGTATCCTAACAACAATGACAATAACGATAAGCAAATACTTCATATTTTATTACGAACAACAATCACCAAACGTTACATTTTTTTGTTGGATTCATCGGTGAACCTAATGAACATTTAAAATCCCTGGAAAAGTTTATTGAGTTTCTAAAAGCTTCATTGACTTTGTACTCTGCAAAATTTTGTAAATTGTTGTCACCACATTTTTGGCACCACAGTTGCGCAGCCGAAATCCAGAACAATTGCTCTTGATTGTAAGTTAAACCAGCAAGCGGTGCTTCTGTAGCATTCCTCTTTGTCCATTTCATGTACGCCAAATATGACTGTTTTAGCCCACCAGTAAGACCCAACATTTCAACTTGAGATCGTAACTAAAATACACTAGCGATTATCTCAATTACTTATACAGGGTGGTCCATTAGAAATATCTCAGGAACGGTTTGGAATTTTTATTCGGGAGAATCAATCAAAAGGAATCATTTAAAAAAATTTTGGCCGCTTTCCGGTCGTATCAGAACGATACCGGAACATTCTTATTTTAAATGGCACTATCTTTTCTGATGGTATTTTTGAATTACTCATAAAAAGTCAGTATGATTTTGTTAATAGGATGCTATGTGTAACTGACATGGTTTCGAAGTTTTCACAGTTGCAGAGGTTCAGTAAACACCACCCTGTATGCTTTATACTTACTTCGATTGAATTGAAAAGCATACTAGCTACACACTCCTCTTTTTCCAGAAATACTGCTTCAATTTTAGTCCCCCACCAATTATTTACATTCCCATGCTTATCGTATTGCCTCCCAAATCCGGTTGTAATTTCACTCCCGATCAAGGAGCCAACAGTGGCGTAGTTCAGATAACGAGGCCGACTGGCGTTGAAAAATATTCCCTGAAGAATATGTCCAGGAATATCTACTGAAAGTATTACTGAATCTGTACGTTATGTATTTTATACTTACGTAGCTTATTTCCTGTTTGCGAGTAGATCAGGTCCATTTTGTTTAATACGGTATGGTCCATCCAGTCTACTGTACCAACCAAATGGCGTAAACAGCTGTAGTGCATGTGTTGCAAAACTGAATTAACGGACATCATTGCTTTTAAGTAATTTTCGGAACTTATCTCCAGCTGCGAAGCAATAACAAAATAACCAAAATGACAGTTATTGGGGAAGTAGTACTTTATCGTAATAATTAGCGATTAGTGTGTCATCTAGTGTGAGTAACCCGATGTGAAATGAAAATGCGTTTAACTTATCAATGGCAGTTTGCCTTGTAATCTCATCAAGCCATTCATTTTCATTTAACATAGCGCGAAATTCCTCTTGAACAGCAAATGCGATTTCTCTAACTTGCTCATAGTCCTGATTTTTGAAGTACTTACCTTCATGCATTGCGAGCAATGGTAAACCTACACTGAAAACTAGAACTGATACTTTTGCAATTGCTAGTTCAGATTTACCTTCCTTGCACAACATCTATACATTTTTTCCAAGTTGGTTGACCCTCCACAAATTCCTCGTTTTCCATTACCAGCATACCCAAGTCTCTGCTAAGGAGTGAAATTAAAGACACTAAAACTCTTACAATGATATAATTCGCTTGAATTCTGAAAGAAGAAGCTGTGGCAATTTTCCTATAGCCGCCTTGTGCTATTACTCGTTTGGGGTGTTCTCCAATAACTTTTCCAAATCGCCCAAATACTGGGGAACACGTACAACAATTGGTTCTTTATAGCTAAATGTTACATCGGGCAAACTAACGATGTTCGTTACATACTCCATCCAATCAGTCTTTGGAAACCGATATTGCAACTCTCTAAGCGTCATTTGGTTATAAAAGGGGGATCTGTTCATCGTAGGATGGTAGCTAACGTAAATCTATAGGTTTTTAAGTATCGAGTATGATGCACTACGCTTACATTGGTCAGTCTTGCCGCAAAGTCTAGAACCTCTTTCAGTTCAACCAAGCTCTTTGTTGTGTTCACGCCAAAGTTTCTTATAATTTTCGATAAGTGCTTTAGGACCGAGCTTTGCAATGTAGAATTAGTAGCGAAATTAGGTTGGGTTGGTTCAATCTGAAACGGAATGAGACAGATAAATGTGCAATTAAGTATCACACTCACCGTGAGAATGTGGTATGATGAATTTCTTTCGTCCACAGATACCTTGAGGGTAATAAAATGGTCGTGGTTAAGGCCCACGCGTTTGAGATTGTATACAAGATTGCTCCAGTGAAAATTGGTGGCATTCCATCGGCTTCCAATAAGTAAGGGACAGCTGCCCACGCTGTTGATAATATCTATGGCCGTTTTTATACCTTCTCTCTCAATGGCTGTAGTATTCATGCAAAGATTGTACAACTTCTGCAACTGATGGTAAGGTTTTGGAGCACCTAGCGAAAGCGGGCTTTCTATTATTATTTTAAGTTGTTCTTGTATTCGCTGGTGAAGCAATGCGTGGTTGTCTAGGCAGACTTTATCATTTTGCAGGTAACTTTCCCGTAAGTAATTTCCGCACGAGAATTTGTAAAAATTGTCGCATGGGCTTTGGGTTGCATCGATGGTTTGTAGTATCATCGCAGCGGAGTGTACGCAACTTGGGCTTAAACACTCATTACTTGTACAAAATAAACCTTGCTAAACCAACGAAGACATTGACTTACCTTGAGTTCTTGTCGCGCAAAACGATTAGGATTCCCATAGCTAGTGAGACAGCGACAGTCAATAGTGTCCAGCTTATGTAAGTTAAACGTTTTTCCAGGGTGCTGGGCCTATTGAAAGAATATAAGATCAAATATAATTTTTTGTTTTTTTCCAATAAGAGCCCAAGTTCTAAAACTAGTAGTTCCAGATTTGCAGAGGAAATCTGGAAAAATGATTATAATAGGCTGGAATATGGAGTAAGCAATTCTTGATAACTGGGTCTGTCTTGGAATAATGATCAGAGGGCTCATCGGTTAGGAGTTAATCTTTGATTAAACCAAAACAGTGTCTTACAGAACTGTTTATAACGATAACCTCCACTCAGTACGACTGGGAGGATAATACTAGTATTACCTACTGAATCGAATCGTATCATAATTGACGCGAAAAGTACGCAGGGTGCTGGCTGTGAAAGGTACGGAAGCAACGGACAGAGGTACCGAAACCATGTTCCAAACCGAGGTATGTGCAATTTCAGGACAAAACCATTCCCAAAGTCTTTCTTGAAATCCCAAACGGAGATTGGGTCCATCTTGCACAAGTAACTGCACAACATGGGACTGACTGACAACTAGTTAGTTTGTTTAAGTCTCCTTTCACAAGTGCTGATGATCGGTCGACCAATTATCATTCGAATTTAAATTGTTTTCACAAAACATCAGCACTGATCATCGGTCCTTTGTGAAACAGGTTTAAAAACCCCTATTCATCCCCGAACAATTTGATATATATGATGTATATGTTAAGAAAAATAGCGTAAACCTCCAAATGATATGTCTCTGTGCTCACTGTCCGTCCGTCGATCCACAGCCATAAATCCTAGTTTAATGAAAAATCTTTTAATTTAAACAATGCAGAAAATTGTATTGGAGATTCGACATGTGTTTTATTTTTGTTGGTTCTACATTGGACGAGGGAGTTAAGATTTTCTATTTATTATATATAACAAGATAATGATACAATAACGTAATTAAGGCATATATTTCACAGCATTGATATATCAAATTATTCTGAATTAATGTTGTCCTATGTATACCAAAGTTTAAGTTAATTTTATGTCAGATGTTATAAGTTTGTATTGATTTATTAAAACGAGATTTGTTTTTATACCGAAGTAGCATATTTCTAAAGTGTCTAACTATCAATATAATTAATTCTTTCTTCAATCAAGCACAAGCAAGCAGCAACAGAACGCTAAATAAACAAGATCAATGTTACCGACATCAGAGGTTTAGTGAAATCTGAAACGGAGTCTAAATATTGCAATCCACATTCTACTCACCATTTTTTTGCATTACGTTCACTGCCGTTCAGCATCATATATTTTATGCAGCCTATTTATGTTATTATATATTACTTTAGCAAAAACTGCAAGACCGTGTCAAATTGTACGAATACTTCTCGGAGTTTTACACGACATAATTTAATAATAGTTATGGTATAATTTATTTAAGCATGTAAATGGTTGTCAAGGTTTTGCCTTTAAATGAACGGAATGCACAAAAGTGTTTTATGTAACAAAGCATTTAGTTGTTTATTTACCAAACACTACACTTGTTTTGTGGATTCATGAAACTGTTTGGTGCGCAATTAAAATCGTTTGAAAATTGTTCAGAGTTACTAAAAGATCCAATAACTCTGAATCTCGGTGGAGAATGCACGTCGAAGTAGACAAGTTCACTAATAAGTTCCAGTCGAGCTTTGAAACACCACAATTGAGCAGCTGATATCCAAAACATTTGATATGGAGTGTAGTCAAGCCCAGGCAACTTGAGTTCATGTCCATTTCGCTTAACCCAATTTCTATATGCCAAGTAGGCTTCCTTTATTCCTCCGTTATCGGCTATATTTTCACCAAGCGTGTTCTGCCCATTTACCTTTAGGCAACAACAATAAACCAGCAAGGAAACTCCACGACACAATACTTACATACGTCTCCACATTTGGCTCAACGTAGTTGTTATATTGCTCTGTAAAACACTGAGATTTGCTTCTAAAAGCTACCGCAGTGTCTGCGCTCCACCACTCATTTAGATTTCCTTGCTTGTCGAACTGTTTTCCCTGATCGTCGAAACCGTGAGTGATTTCATGGCCGGCGACAAAACCTAAAGTTCCATAATTCATATAATTTGGACGTTCACTGTCAAAAAACACATCTTGCAAAATCGCCGACGGGAAGTCTAAAAAATCAAATGGTATTCCTTAAAATCCTCTCTACCCGTCCACCCTCTACCAATACTATTTTCTTCTAACGTGTAAAATGCGTTCACTTCCGTTGTGAAACTGGAATGTTCAATCCAATCTGGTTTATCCACAATCCTGCGCAGTTTTTCGTATTCGCGATTTTCATTAAAAAGAGACACATTCATTATCGCTTTTATCAAACTGTTAGAGCTCATATCTAACTAAAATACAGCGCTATAAATCGCAAGGGCATGTGAAATGGTTCTTCAAACGTACTCTCGCGTAATACTCTTCAATTAATTTATCGTCGAGTAACTGATGGGGGTACCCAACTGTCGCCGATATCACCGCTGCCTTTTCTAGTGCATGTCTTCTGGTATTGCCGTCAAGCCAATCGACGAGTTTCAGCATCGTCGTAAACTGATCCTTAACATTCTGTATAATTTGATCGGCGCTCTTCATGGACTCATTTTTAAAATATTTCTTAACATACAGCGCCGATAAAGGCAAAGGCAAGCTAAAATCCAATGTAAAACGAATAGTACTCTTGAAACTTTACCTTTTAGAGATAATGTCTAGACACAATTTCCATCGGGGCTTCCTATAGAGAACGCCAGTTAATACCTGATTATACCGTTCTTGTACGCGTAGCACTTCTTCTGTTAACAATGGCACCATGCTCAATACTGTATTAGTTATTATGTAATTGGCCTGAACTCTGGAAAGTATCCATTAAATATAGGCACAGTTGAAAGAACTCATTCACCTTTTTGGAGTACGTCGAAGTAAACCACTCAAAGTTTCAAAATATCCTAGATCGCTAAGAACAACTACTTCGTCGCCCCTAATTTGGGTTGTGGGAATATTTACAATCCCTTCTATACAGCGTAGCCAATCAATTGTTGGTATTTTGCGGTGTAATTCGGCAATGGTAATAGGGTTATATAGCAATGTATGATTTTTGCGCCTTTCTTGTGGTACATACATCTATCAGTGATTTTAAGCATTTCAATCAAACATCGCTGCTACTCACCAGAGCAAGTTTTTGTGCAAATCTGATAAATTCGCGTGCTTCAGATTCAATTTTAATTTTATTAGCACCAAAGATTTCTGCTATACTGACCACGTAATTAAAATAATCGTTAGAGGATGAGAACTTTGCAGAGACCAGGTGCTCGTCTAGCTTTGGCAAAATTTGATCCAACTATAAATAATAACAATGTATTCTTAACTATATGTTGACTTACATACAACTAAAACACGTTGGGATGAATTTTTTCTATCTGGTTCAATTCCAAAGTTAAAGAAATAGTTATACTCCAGCCCATTCCTTCGAAGCTCATGTATCAATTGTATCCAATCAAAATTTCTTTCATTCCAAGAATTCCCCTCAAGAAGAGGCCAACCGCCCAATCCCCTAAGTATATGCTTAGCGAAATTCAAACCATCTCTCTGCACGTTAATGGTATTCATACATAAGTTGTACAGCTGTCCTAGAGATCGATATGGTTTTGACCTGTTTAGTAAATTAGCGTCTTGAAGTAACGTTCTGAGTTGGCTCTGAACCGTTTTTTGAATTGTGTTAAAAACACTGACTTCTGTTTCATCGTCGGGTAGTATCTCTTTTCGATAGTTGCCACAGGCAAATTCGTAAAAGTCATCACACGGATTTACAGACAGGTTTAAAAACGCCAGCGTCTTTGATGCAGCTGTTATGCAACCACGTGTCAAACATGTGCTTCTGTTCAAAATTCCAAAATGATAATGATAATACGGTGCTATGGTACTTACTGTTTGGTATATACCACGACGACAGCAATTAGAAAAGCACCCAAGCAGAAAGACGCTAGAAACAGAAGCGTACACAGCCACTTTAAATGAATATGTACCTTCTCCTTCCCTTTAAAGGTTCTAAAATGAAGCTCGAAAATGAAGTCAAAATTGACACAACTTACATTTTATGTATACGCTCCACAACCATTTTCAAAATATGGAACTTTTACAAGCACATCAGTTTAAGACTAACAAAAAACAGCGATTGTTTTACTTTTATATAATTTATTCTATTACAATGACATAAATTATTACAAAAAACCTCAGTATTAGATATGCCATATGATTTTGTGTATAATACAATCGTAAGTTGCATAATAAAAAAAATTATTCTTCTTTTCGATAAGTAATATCTGAAAAACATATTCGCAGATTTCGCAATCCATGCAATCGTCGGAGACGTTGGAATTGGCAACCGTATATCGCCATATGTACAAAAAAACAAATTTCTTATTTAATCGGATCACTTGCTCCACTCGTTTGCAAGCTCGCTCGTGTCACAAACGTCACACTTCTCAATAATAAGTCTAGTTTTCATACATGCGATTATCGCAATTTTGTAGTCAACTTTTTGCAAATATTCGAATTTCGTATCAAAAAAATTCGCGTCTATGAAATACTCGTCAGCTTTATAAGACGAATAACAACGGAGAAAACCATCTCGTGCGTTTGCAAACCCCGAGGTACGGAACCTACGATATTTTCCACCCTCGCGTTACAGTAGATTGAATCCCTCTCCTTTTTGTACTTGCGAATTGCACCAAAACTCTTCTTTCGAATTATCGACCATTACTTTACTTTTCTATTAATATGTTCGATAGATATTAAGAATTCGACGTTGAAGTACAATGTAAAATTAATTGATACACATGGATATATTTTGCAACGAATATAGAACATTTAGACAAATAATACATTTCTCAACAAAATAACAACAACTTGCAAATATCTTTTAAAGGTGTAGGTTTGCATCTCACCAAAAGTCACACTTTTGTGGAGGATTCATTGGTGAATGTTTGGGACATTTGAAATCCCTAGCAAATTCTCGAAGATTTGTCAAGGTACCAATAACTCTGTATCTTGGTGGTGAATGTACGTCAAATACATTACCCGGATAGTTATCTTGCAGCTTTTGACACCACGTCTGAGCAAATGATATCCAAAATTGCTGGTTTCGAGTGTAGTTTAATCCAGGAAGTTTATTTTCGGGCTCGTTACTCTCCCTCCAAGTTTTGTATGCAAGATGCGCAATTTGCAATCCTATATTGTCCGCAATATTCTCACCTAGAGTATGTTTACCGTCGACCTGCAATAATAATAGTGCGATTTCCGATTTACGTACGAATTTCCACTCACTTTTCTGTGTAATCCTGGAAATGTGTAATTTGAATATTGTTTTTCTATACATTTTGCTTTCCGTACAAAGTTCTGCAGTGATTCTTTACTCCACCAATTTGCAAGATTTCCATTTTTGTCATATTTGGAGCCCTTATGGTCAAATCCATGCATCATTTCGTGACCAATTATCATGCCAACTTTCGCATAATTTATGTAGGAAGGTCTATTTGTACCAAAGATCGGTTCATTCAATATCGCAACTGATATATCTATATTCGTAGAAGTTTAAACATGTAATTGCTATACAGGGTGTTCATTTGAAAACTTCCCACCACGGATTTATTGAAAACCACTAACTAAAGTGTCTCGGCTTTTTTCCTTTACTCAGTGGTTTTCGATAAATCCGTGGTGGGAAGTTTTCACCGCGTATAATGAAACAATAACGTATGAGAAAAAGTTTGCCCTGACATGTATATCTGATTTTTCAAGTATATTTCGTAAACCGCAAGATATATTTCAGAATACATTAAATTGTACTTCAGATTAGTTTATTGGACTTGAAAAGGTGTTAATGTAATTCAGAATCGTGAATTGAATTTGAGAAATCATCATAATATAAAGTTATGATTATTATTATATTTTATGAATTACATTTTACACTTTCCGAAATTGAAATTATGGTTATGGTTTCTGAATGATAACTAACATTTTCTGAAATCCAATTGACTACTCTAAATTACAATTAATTTAATGTTTCCTGAAATTAAATTGACTAATCTGAATTACAATTAATATTTTCTGAAATTCAGTTTACTAATCTAAAACCATATTTAACACTTACTGAAATCCATTGGACTAATTTGAATTACATGTGAATGTTTCTGAAAAAGGGTGTAGTAATGTCAATGTGATTGATAAGTTATTTATAACGACCTTGGCCTGTGAAGTTCCATAACGTTTGTAAACAATCAGGCCTGTGATGTATCATTAAAGGCGCGTATACATCTGAGCATTGGGTCGAATGAGCAAGGCGAGCGCGAATGAGCATTTGGAAAGGGGGCTGAGTACACATCTGAATGGGACACGCGAGCGAGACACATGAGCTTCGCTCAATGAATGCTCGTAGTGCGCGTTTCAATATGGTATGTCCTTTCCGTTCCCTGTCGATGTCCACACTGAGCACGTATGAGCGTGTTCGCCGCAAGCGCTCGCTTTAATCTACCGACAAAATTTGGATCGGGTCGAGCGTGCTCGGCGCACGTTGCTCAGTCGTCCACATTTGAATGCTCATTCGCGCTCGCCTTGCTCATTCGGACCCAATGCTCAGATGTATACGCGCCTTAACGTTAAACTTAACGTGCAGGTTATCTGTTAAAAACGTCATTTTGCCTATACTAAATTTCTGACACATCACAGGGCTGAATGTTTCTACCCCAACGGGAAACGACAACAATACATTTTCACTTGGCATTTTCTTTTCTAAATTTGAAATTGGGTTCTTTTTGAAGGAATTATGATAACACTGAACGTAATTCGGCCGATATACAAATAACGGACGGTGGAAAAATACAAAGAAAAATGTTGTAGGGCCATTTGTTGAAAATTGCGTAAAGGGTAAATTGCATCATTATTTGCAAAATATCTGCCCTCGAAATTAACCTGGGATACTTAGGAGCGCCGCTACGGAGTGTTCGTGGTCTCTGAGTTATGGCGGTATGGGGGTGCCATGAGGTACAGTTGGGGTGAAAAATGTACCACACCGTAAAATTGCTCGGAAATCGTTACTCAGAAGTATACTGTACCGCGACGCCCTAAGTGTCCCCGGGCAATTTTTAGGGTTATATCTGGACTTGGGGTATATCTGAACACTGCGTCGAAAATAGCATTTCGTTACGGACTGTTTCCAACTGAATTTTTTTCCATATTTCCCTCGTCTCCCATAGTTACAAACCTATACAATTTTGTGACGGCATATAGTATGCATTAATAACTGTGGTATCGGCGTGTGTAATCCATTTAGTTTCTTCTTTTGATTGGAACAGTTTGTTAAAAGTTTTGTTGCTGTTAAAGATTGTGATAGACATAATTGATTTGAGATAGCTACTGGTATCGATCTTTAACTGAAATTTAAATTACAGAGTGATTGCTTGGGTATTACAAACCACCTCTTTGTAATAAGCATCCAATACACCGGGTTCTTCTAAGGGAGGTGGATATCCAACATAAGATGCCATAGATAGCGCCTTTTCAACTGCATTCTTTTTAGTTTCTGCATCTAACCATTTTGAAGCTTCAATAAGTTTTAGAAGTTCAGTGCGTATGTTTACAATTAGTGCCTCTACAGCATTTTTTGTGCCATTGCTAAAATATTTTTTCGCGTACAAAGAGTACAATGGCAAGTTTAGACTGAAACGAAATTATGTTAAGTTGCATATAGTATTTTACATTATTAGCCAGTCAACTTCTCCTATCGCCAGTAAAAACTATTACCTGGCGTATAATGTACAATATTTTATTTGTTACTCATTTTTAAACAATAGTAAACGTAAATAATTACTTCTTAAATTGATCTTGAAGAAATGTCTAAAATATCATGTTATCCATGTAACAGAGACTTCGCATTAATTCTGGCCAATGAAATTACTAGATTACTAACTTGTAAAATTTTTACAGGTCAGCTGTCAGTTTTACAGGTCAGCTGTCAGTTTTACAAGTCAGTAGCGTTTAAACATGACGTTTACCCGTTTGCGTTTTGTCTTGTTAATCAACGTTTACAACTGAGTAACAAATAAAAATATTTATATCCTATACTACACTATACATATACTGCCCTACTTTACCTTTTATGCATATCTTGAAAACACTCATACCAGCGGGGCGGATTTCTCGCATTTGATATTCTTTGCCCTATGTACCTTAAATGGTCATCCGCATAATGGAACATCCAGATCACCGTTTCAAAAAACAAATAGTTCGCTTGTACCCTGAAAAAAAAAGGCTATGATTTGTACTGTGAAAAGTGAATCCAACCTTTTATTGGTTTCATTAAGCAAGTTCAGCAACTGTTTTAAGGTCGGAGGAAAAGCAATAAGGGGTGATTTCTGTAGAATTTCTTCTTGTGACCTTTTAAATAGGTTCTTAAAGAAAGAAAGCCAATGTTCCCCTTGCAGTATATTGTTTACGTTGATCATATCTTCTATTACCATCTCTCTATTGTTGGGTGATTTGAATATCTAAGATTAACTTTTATAAACATGTTTAACTGATTATTAATTATTTAATTTTGGTTTATATTTGGATTAAGGAGAGAGTCAACACATGTTTTTAAAATCAAATGTAAAATTCATAAAACATACGTTGAGTGAAAGAATCGAGCACTTGGCGCTTTAAGTTAATACACACCGTAGACAAGTTATTCATAAATAGCACAACGCTCTGTATATCTTCAGCTGCCTTCGATTCTTCAAGGTCAAACAATTTTACAATATCATATAAATATGTATCATTTTTGATTGAAGATGATATACCCGACGTCTTTAACTGAAAGCAAGCCTACGTAAACTTTCAATATATCTTATCTTACCTGTATTATATTTTGTAAGGTATTATTATCATCTAGATAATGTTCAACATTTACGGAAAAGAAATGCGAATACGGAAGTCCAAAATCTTTCAATTTCAGTATCATATCCGCCCAATGGAAACTGTTAATATCCCACTTGCTTCCCTTCATCATAGGCCATCCACCTATTCGTGCCAGTATTTCTTCGATGACTTTCACTCCCTCTTTCTGGGTTTCGTTATGGCACAGGTTACACATCGTCTTCAAGAGTTGATAGGGCCTTGTAAGATTTTGTGGTAGAGGCTCAATAATCAGACTTTTTAGTTGTTGGTTTACAATGTTTGTCATTTTAGAAAATATATTCACTTCCAAGTGCGGTGGATCTACAATGGTTTTTTTTATAAATCCACCACAAGCGAAATCGTAAAAGTTCGTGCAAGGTTCAACTGAAGTATCCATGTACTTCAAAGCATAATGGGCAGATTTTATACATCCCTGGGTTAAACATATCGGTCTAAAAAGATGTAATACTGCTCGTAGGTATATATTGATAAACAAATCCCCGGTACTTACTTAGGAGATCTTTTAATAAGAAGGGCTATAATAACTATTGCCAAAATGACACATAATATCCACAGTAACTTTACGACGGCACTTACGACGTCTTCTTTGTTGCGTTTAAAAGTTTTCTTTAACTTCCACTTGGTTTGGCTTCTGTAAAAAATTATGTAACATGAGATTTGACATAGGTAATAATATTAATAAGCAGTTGAGAAACTAGAAAGTAAGTGGTTAACAAAGCAATCTTCGATATTAAAGGGGTTAAGGGTTAATAAGTTAACAATAGATTTATTATCTTAATAACTTTAAACTAAATGTATGAATGGTGGCATTTATAATAAAGAAACATAAAAATTCGTTTGGGGTGAAAGTATCAAAGGCGGGTGTTTAATTTTAAGTTAGTCTTGATTGTAGTAGGTAAAATTATATATATATATATATAAAATTAAAATAATTAAAATATTTGTATTTGGATTTTAAGTAAATATACTTAGCTACTTACACAGTTTCGCCAAGTCTCCCGATAATCGCAGGAATAGTGTCGTCGTGAATAAAATTTTCGGAATCCCTTACGCCAGTAAATCGATTGTACGTTTCTTCAAATAACGTTCTATCCCCTATGGTGCTCGTGATTATCGCTACCGTTGCTTTCGGAAATGCTAGTTGCATGAGGGTTTCATATGATATGCGCTAATTAGCAAAACGTACCGTGAATGAATGATCAATTAAGGCTCTTTTCCTTACTTACTTTCTTTTTTCTTCTGAATAGGTAGTCCATTTTTACATTTACCTTGCAGGTAGAAGCGGTAATGAATCAAACACGTATCTCTTACAACAATCGATACGGCGCCCTTGTTTATACATATAATTGTTGACTTACCGTTCCACAGAGATTTAAAAACGAACATTTGTTTGCTGCAAAACACTATAAATAATTTCGTTGGTGAAATCTATGTTAGAATAATAAATTTGATTCTTATTGCAAGAGCAGTGTGTGAATACAGGTTAAGCTGAAACATATACGACTAGGTTTATAATATGACCTAGACCTAAACGCGTCAATGTACATTTTTAATCCATAACACCTTAACTCGATATTCATGCATCTCCTAAACAGTTTAATCACTAACGGTTTAATGAAGCTGTTCAATTCCACAGAGAATCATTAATTCAAGATGCAGTGACAAAACACATCTACACTTTTCTTTAGCAGTTTTCCTAGACTTGGGCAAGGCGTTTGATCTACTATCGAAGTAAAAAGTGTAGTTACCTCACTTTAAAATTTATTTTAAAAAAACTAATGGGCCGATTTTTATGAAACTTTGAATTGTATGAATTCGACAAGAATCAAAGTGCAACTGACTGACATTCCATTCTCTACAAGAAATGCGTCGATATGGCCGGCAATGCAGCGGATGTAGATGGCCCTTTTGCATAGTCACATAGATCCATAAATTGTGACATTAGGGTGACTGATAGGAATATAAGAATGAGCTTTTGCTTGAAACCAACTAATTCTTAAATCTTCATAGACTGCTGGAGGTGGATTAGTTATACAAACGCGTTGAAAAAACAGCTTTTTTATTTATACACCTGTTACAAAGATAATGTTGTGTGCTAATAAATACAAATTCACTATCATAATTAATTGGACGCGCTTGTCGCGCTATATAATTACAGTGTAGATATGCTGGAAATAATCTATACAATTCTACACGTGAGAATTACATTCACCAAAATTGACATTTTTTTGACGGATTCATTGGCGAATTTAATGGGCAGTTAAAATCTTGGGCAAATTCTTTAAGGTTAGACACGGATCCAATGACGCGATACCTCCCAGGTGAATGCGTATCCAATAAATTACCATAGTAATCTTTTTGTAATTTTTCACACCATAACTGTGCGAAAGAAATCCAAAATAATTGACTTTGAGTGTAATTTAATCCTGGAAGCCCACTTTGAGAACCATTCTCGGTTTCCAATCGTTTATAAGATAAGTGAGATATCTCCAAGCCAATATTATCTGCTATGTTTTCACCGAGTGTAAGCCATCCATCCAACTAATACGAAAAAAATGTGTACACGTGTAAATTAGCAAATGTCTTACCTTTTTGGTCAACTTTGGAAAAGTATAATTCTGGTATTGTTCGACAAGGCATTTCGATTTCTCCTCAAAAATATTCTTCGACTTTTCCGTCCACCAGTTTACTATATTCCCGTTTTGATCAAACGTCCTACCCATATCATCGAATGCGTGCATCATTTCATGTCCAATTATCATACCGATTTGTCCGTAATTCATGTACGAAGGCCTATTGTTGCCGAAAAATAATTTTTGCAGAATTGCAGCAGTAATATCTACCAAAATGTGAAATGAGCTGCGATCGGCGATGAAAGTGTTACAAACCTATTGTATTTTCGTTTAGTTTATAGTACGCATTTACGTCTGTTATTTTCTTATGGAACTGCCATATAGTCGTACTGGCAGAGTTGAAAAGAGCGTCAAATTGTTTACGTGTATTAAACACATTAATTTTCATAATTGATTTTAGGTAGCTAGTGGTGTCGATGCTTAGCTAAAATTTGTTATTAAGAGTTGTAGAATTAATGTGCTCTAAATACGACCTTTTCGTAATATTTTTCTAATGCTGTCGAATCTCCCAATTCAGAGGGATATCCTACGTATGATCGCATGGCGTTTGCTTTCTCAAGAGCTTTGATTTTAGTGGATTCGTCTACCCATTTGGACGCCTGAATTTGATTTAAAAGTGTAGTACGTATATTTGTCACCAGTTTTTCTACTTCTTCTTTAGTTTTGTTCTCCAAATGCTTTTTAACATATAAGGAGTATAATGGTAAATCGATACTAAAATGTATAATTCTCTATTAAACAATGCAAATGAAAAATTAAAGTGAATATTGTCGAGGAATATGTACGGTTTTGGTCAGAAGATGTCTCTCGATTATCTCATAATTAATATACAAGATCTCCTGTGAGTTTTGAGCTTTTTGTCAAAATCAGGAAAGTCCCTAAGATAAAATTGAACTAAATCACGGAGGAACTGACAGTACTTTTTCTACGGTTTAGGTATCTGACGAAGGACATTACTTATGACCACGACTGTACTTTGGTGCATTTCGTAGGATAAGTAGTGAGGTTGTTTCCTAAGCATGGAATTGCCGAAAGGCCGTAAAACAAACCAGACTCCGCCCTATAAGAATTGAACTTGAATACACTCTAAATGAACTATTTTTTATATACATTTGTATTTACATACCTTGTATATACGTCCTCAATACATTGATACCAACGCGGCCCACGCGAAACAGAAGAAGCTGATATTCTTTCTCCGATATACCTTAGATTGTCTTCAGCATAGTGAAACATCCATAGTATTGTTTCAAAGAATACATAATTAGCTTGTGCTCTAAAAAAAGATAAATTCTGCAACTACTTTACCTTGTTGTACCCAACCTCTTTGGTGCCGTGTTGATTAGCGAAACAATTCGTAATAATTTATACTGCGTAATAATCGTTAAGTGTTGAATCCCTTGCTGTCGATTAAGTATGGATTTCATTAGGTCCAACCAATTTATACCTTTAATAATATGTTCTAATCCTGTAACAGTAGTTTTTACTTCTTCATTGCCGTTAGGATCTTTAACTATCTGCAAACAGCACAAACCGCATTACACATTATTGATTTATTCCGATGCAAATCCATAACTATTTTAGCAACAGTAAAGAGGCGAAATGTTTTAAATTACTGAACTAATTCAAATTTTATGATTGTAATAACGAAGTTATAGTTCAATGGGACTTAATGGATGGTACTCAAAAGGTAAAATATTGTGATTATATTCGACCTCATCTCGTAAATAAGCATATTATATGGTAACAATACGCCACAATTTTAATACCCGCAAGCGCTTTAGGAAAAGGAAGCCGCCACCCTCTTCCAATGTTCAAATGAGGATTTTTCAACACATCATCAAAACGATTTACCGAGTCGGCCGCATACAGTGCTTTCTCTGAGGAGGTAACTAAAAGCCAAGTTTAATGTTCCCGAATAAACCTCGCGATAAGAAGTTATTGTTCTCTATTGTAGATATCGTATTTCCTTTCGATGCCTTAAATACTTAACGAGATTCTGGAATTTAGTACGCAAATAAAATTCAGACTTGTCGCAACGTCTTTAAACATCTACATGTTGTTTACTTACGGAACTAGACTAGGTCGAATATAATCATGCGATCAAACGAATTTTGTGATGTTCAATCTTATTATATGACGACCACAACCTCTAGAACCTATATGGGTTGCAAGTTGCAACAAGAAACTGAAGCTGACATTGTATACAGTGCGGAGCTGGCCACGGAAGGGGAAATGGGAGCTTTAAAATTGTGACGTATTCCACAGGACTTATTTACTTCGACAAGGTCTTCATATAATCAAGATCGAACATTTGATCTTATGATTATTATTAAAAACGTTCAAATAAAAAAGAATTGTATCCGCTACTTATGGGTAGATGGCGAGTGAGGAGTTAAGGACGGGGACTGACATACCGATTGTAATAAAGTTTTAAATTCAAATACACTGTCGATGTCTCTTTGTGATGCGACTAAATCCAGATTAAACAACATAACTATGTCGTGTAACCGCTCTTTTAACTTTATTGCAAACTTGATGTTGTCAATCGTCATCTAGAAACAAACCTTTAGCAGTTCTCTATCAAAAGATGCCACTTACAAATATACAATAGTGAGAATTATTCATAGCTTCTACTCTCATATCAAATAAGTATGAATACGGAAGCCCTACTTTGCTTAATTTGATCAACATTTCGGTCCAATCGAAAGTATTACTGTCCCACGCGGTGCCTTCTAGTAAAGGCCATCTTCCCAATTTCCCAATCAGTTCCATAATAGTTTTTAGACCATCCTTTTCTGTATCGTTATGGTAACAAAGGTTGCACACGTCCTTTAGCAGCTGATACGGTCTTGAAAGGTTTGGAGGCAGCGGCTCTTCGATTATAGACTTTAATTGGGAGGCTACGATAGTTTGGATATATTGAATTGGAGTTTCTTTTAATTTGTAGGCCTTCACGACCGTGTTTTTTAGGAAATTTCCACAAGCAAAGTCATAAAAGTTGGTGCAAGGGTCTACAGATGAATCCATGTGCTTCAATAAATAGTAGGCCGACTCTATACATTTAGAAGTAACGCATGTATCTCTAAAACAAAAGCTTATATTGTAAACTCCAAATGACGAAGTACCGATTTGATAAAGCAAATCATATGAATTGTAATGTTTCACGACCAATATAAAGTGCATACTCACGGAGGTCGTTTGGTTAGAATCGCTATAATTACTATAGCTTGAATGAGGAATATCAATGCGAAAATTAAGAGAACGATGTGCAGCCCACTAAAATTTCTTTTTGCTAAGGTCTTTGATTTTAACCACGCGAGGTTTCTGCAAGCAAAGAGATAAATATATTATTACTAATGAGTGACTACTGATTAATTTCATTAGTTAGTAGTTTTTATCGGTGAAAATCAGAAATAATAAAGATATACACACAGTGCATGCGGTTTTTTTGAGAAAAGTGGATTAATAACCACCAATAAGGGTTTTACACCCTTATCAAACTACAGTCTTTAGAAGACATTTACTAGCTTGCGCAGGGAAGAATTGCAAACAATCGGCAAGCTGGAGTGCGGGACGAATCCGCAGACACCCCACACGAAAGGGACGTCACTTTTTGACCAGAAAAACAACACGTGTGTGCAAGTTCAGGTTTCAGTCATGCATGCTTTATATTATGCACCTCAACTTAGTTAATTTGAAACTGTTGTCGCTTAACGAACATTCATGCGTGTTTTACATTATGCACCCCAATTTAGTTAATTTGACAGCGCTAAAGATACGAATCGATTGCGAATCTTCGAAAAGGGCGTACCTACGTTCCAGGTATAATACGCATGCCTTGTTTTTATTTCATCAGAGATGAGACAGAACTTTCTTGTGCTCAATGTAACATGCGTAGTTTAATAAATACATTATTCTGTTTATAATTGGTTATGTTATGATGGATATAAAGTCTAACAACCAACGTGTGACCGCCACACCTGACACCTGTCCACGTGCACAGGGTTACCATATGTATATTGGCAGGGCACAATCACCCGTAATAATCTTATCATCCTCCAGCCAAAGGCACGGTAGCCCACCACGGTTGCACCGATAACAGGGAAAGTACTGAACGGGGGGAAGTACAGGGCCCGGAAAACGGACCAAGCACTCAGCCGAAATAACAGTCAAAATCTCCAAAAAAGTACATTTTCGACTAGAAAACTTATTTCGAATGATACTGGTTTATTAAGTGAGCCTCGCGTTAATTCACAGCGGCAGGTTTTCTTTGCAAAAAATTCACAGATTTCGCAATCCTTGCAACCATCCGAGGCATTGGAAATAACCGTACAATGCCATATGTAAAACATAAATAACCCTTATTCATACGGCAAACTTTCCAAATAATAAGCGTCGTAACATGCGTGTAATACCATCACGGGCGATGTGCGATAAATTTAGATTCGAATTAGCAAAACCCTTACGCACTGTTAAGTAAGTACCGTGCCGACAGTATCCGCGACTTCCTGAATCTACCGATTGCAGTCGAGTACGGGACAATCATCACTTGATGCGACACCAATTGTCTGCTAGGACTTCGTCCCAAATTTCCGAGTATAGCGGAACTCAGTTTTAGCCGGAACGAGGAAGAGGGGTGTTCAGCACAAAAAGGATAGGGCACCTCTGAAAGGAAAAAATCGGGAATTAAAAGAGTTATTTTTAAAGCCCTTTAGATCCCTTCGTAATGTAGGCCAACCTGTAGATCAATGGGGATCAATCCTAATCTACCTTTAAAACGGCAAATATTGTAAGTGTTGAAACCATTCAAAAAGACCGAGTATCATAAGGTTGGAGTAGTACCCTGGAGTGTGGAAACAGTGCAGGCTGATATCCCCAAGACCAAGGATACGTTGGAAAAATCTCTGAAAAGATAATTAACAATAGGCCGGCTATCAGACAATATGACTTTCGATGAGGGAAGTCAACAGTAGATGCGACCTGCACAACATAAAGGAAAAAGCGAATGGGGAAACGCGCAGGACAAGCAGGGTGTGCCTGATGGCATCACTCGATGCCAGGAATGCCTTTAATACCGTGGCGCACCAGAGAAGATGGAAGAGATGGACGTATCTCCTAAACATCACAAGAAGTTATCTCACTGGACTGATGGCGGAGGTACCTTATACGGAGGAACCCTCAAACTCAAAACCAGAGGACTCATGCTCAGAGATTTGTCTCAAAGCCAGAATACTCACTTTCATCGTGATTACAAAATTTTTTCTTAAATAATAACCGTTGCAATGCGAGTAGAAGAACGATCAGTACCAATATGGAAATGCGACAGTATTTTTTTGTCGATCTTTAAGATATTATTTCCATCTATTATGTTAAAAGCGTTAATTTTAAAAAATAGATTATTTCCATCTATTATGTTAAATGCGTTAATTTTAAAAAATAGAATCCGTGATTTTCAGTAAATGCATTGACTATGGCAATTTTTTGAACTCAGCTCGCATTCGGCCCATTTAGTAGATTTATTAAACGGTAGAGCAAAGCGATGCAAGTCCGTGAACACGATAACTGCCAAACGCTTGAACCGATTCGGTTCAAACTGTGCACAGTTGACCTACATGCCCCATCTAACAAGCCTATTGAAAATGGGTCAAACCCAATGACCTGGTAGCATCAAACCGAGGTGCTGCTCTGCCGCTTTCTTAGATCCGCTTTAGGGGTTTATTCTATTTAAAAATGTGCACAGACGTAGGTAATACGACATGCTGTCGAAGCCGCGGCCTCAAATAATAAGTATTTCTTAAAGTAAAACGTGTAATCTTTAATTTATTTGCTAAAAAGTGTTAATCAAAACACACAAACAGAATGCGTTGTGCGAATTCAATCTCGGCTTACACTGACTCGCCAAAGCGGCTAATTACTGTAGCAATAGTAACGTCGTTAATATTTTCGTCACCTGTTGCACGAATAAATTTATTGCGTGTCTCTTCTGACAATGTGTCGGTACCCAATGTATCTGTAATTATCGAAACCGTTGTGGTAGGAAGCACCACTTTAATGAGGGTCGAATACTGTTGTTTCTACGAGATCACATTTTTAATGAAAATCTGAAGAAATAAAAACGGCACTTACCTTTTTGTTAATGGGGAATAAATTTGTATATCTTTGTCTGACGTACATACTTGCAAGGGGGATTTTACTTATTTGTCTGTGCCGCCATTACTCCTTGACACAGTACAATCGATTATGTCACAGATTTATGTACGTGCGCTAGTCGTACAGAATTTATTATCATTTTTGTGAAGAGGGCTCATTATTTAATTACTGAAGCTTAGTAAGGTTAATTCTAGAAAAAAATTCTGGAAAAAAATTCTGGAAAAAAAGACTCAATTAGAGTCTTACGCTCGTTTCAGGCAGATTATTGGCATTAATTTAATTTGATTTTTCAAATCGTTCATTATGATCGCATATAGTTACAAAGCGCCCTGAAACATAACTTGCGATTGTAATCAATAATTGTTATTTAGTGGCAAACAGAGGTCATTGACAAAGACATTTAGATGTCCTAAGTATTCTGTATTATGGTGTAGGTATAGAATTATCCTTTAGTAAATTAATTTGTGGTCTGTGCTCTGTACTAACAATTCTAATCAACGAAATTTGACAAGTGGTTGCAAAAAATGACATAAGCATAACGATTTCCAGAGTGTTTGAAAACTTGCAGGGTGCTAGTGTAATTAACAATTAAGAAATAAAACACTTGCTACCATGCAAAGTTTGTATCTAATTGACGATGAATTAAGGAAACAAGGAATAGACGTAGCCAGTCTACAAGAAACCACACTATCAAGTGGCGTGGTTGCGACAAGGAATTACGACTGGCGGATACGGGGGTCGTGGGGGGAAGAAGAAGAGAACCAGCAGGGGTATGGCAATCAAGAAGGACGGAGGTATTGAGGTGGAGAAACTTGAAGAAAAAAGCGAGAGTATATTCATGGCCCAAATCAAGACGTACATAGCAAGACTAACAATCATAGGTTGCCACATGAAGAGGAAGAACTTAGTATAGGCAAAGTTATCAAGCGCGAGCATGACAACGGGACCGGCAGCGAGCTTAGGAACATGGTACACCTACATCGACTGAGGGCGGAAAACACATTCAGCAAGTTCAAAACGGTGCTGACAACATGGAGGAGGGGAAACTCTGAATCGTAGATTGACCACATAAGGACGAAATGAAAAGAAATAAGCATCACGAACACAGTAGGCGTATGGGCAAAAACAGTAGGATCGGACCACAAAATAGCAAGGGGGAAATTAAAGAGGCAAGAAGGGGGAAGGAAGACCATCTTGGAACAGGATCACCGGTACGCTCAACGCCCATGTCACCTAACAAGAAGCGAGCAATGGATAATCACAGCAGAACAACCGAGAGGTTTGGGCAAAACCCACACAAACCTTCAACAAAGGCAGAACTAAGGAAAGGGAAGGCTGAGAAAAACAGAGCCTTTGAGCAACACGAAATCAAGGAATTCGCCGAGTTCGCGGAAAACATCGCCAAGCTCAGACTCCGAATGGAGAGGAATGCGCAAATGTATAAGCCCATAAAACAGAAACAAATAATATATAACAATGACAGCGTGGGAGAAATTAAAACTAAAAGAGTTCACGCTGGAAGGACTTACTTAAAATTAAGCTACAATTCTGAAAAGGTCTTTCTAAAAGTCGACTTCAAAAACGTATTCAACCCAGTGGAGCGAGACGTTTTACTTCATGAAGTCAGAGAGAAGACTCCTCTTCCTCCTCTACAGCAATTCTATTCATCTCCTACTTTACTGTTCTAAGGAAATTATACTCTACTTTTTTGCGCCCAGCAAGGGGCCTATGGCGTTCAGTTTACCTATTCACTTACTATCTTACATCAAATTTCGCATTAGTAGATTCCATAAATGCCGTATTTGCAGTCAAATTTCGTGTTACCCCTTAGGGCCGGTTCTACAATGTGAGAATAAAACCAAGAATTGGTATACCAGGGATAAACTTATACTCGGTTAAATTTTTGAGTTGCGTACTACAGTCATCCGACCACCCTAGAATAGCTATACCTCGTATATCCGGGGAGTAGCTCATTTGTACGCATATTAGTTCAGTTTGTGCTGACATTTGTACTGATTACAAAATTTTTTGTGATTTGTGTATTGATTTCGCGGGACTTAGAAATGAAAGAAAGTGGCGAGGGTAAAAAAGGTGCAGTAATTTTACATCTGATGAAGTAGATGTGCTGGTTAGCTTGTTTGAAGAATTCAAGGGTATATATATAGGAAGTGTTATGAAGTTATTATGAAGAGAGGCGATTGCATCGGTCACCTGGGTCACAATGCCACAGGCAGAGGTTTTGCTAACAACTGCAAAATCTGCAACTGAAATGAGCATGTTGCCTGTTGCACGAAAACGTAAACTTAAGAGCTACTTTGTTTTGGGTGTTATCGCATGATTTCTGTCTGTGGTACTTTGAATCCTATCCTGAATCATTTCTAAAAGCATTTCACATGTACGCTTTTGCAGACGAAACCGTGTAAAGAATTCCAAATCGTCATATTCTTCAAAGAAATTTGGTCTCTAAACCATCGAATAGGCATTCTAGTTATGTAAAGCAAAATAACGTCAGCTTACCGACGCCTAAACATTTTCGGATTATGTCCGTTCTCAAACTCATCCCAGTCCAAGGTTGGTATATTACAGGTTGCCTCGTAACTGTTGACCAATAGCAATCGAGGCGCGAATACGTCACTGGTATCCCACGATTTAAACGAACTAATAAATGCATGCAGCCATACAGCTGGAAAATTTGATACGGTTTGATGGGTAGCTATTGTTTACAGTTCTTTCATGATGTTTGAATCTTTTAACTAGTAAAACACAAATATAAAGTTTTATATTTTAAAATTTAGTAATTATAAATCGTTATATAATACAGTCAATCTTCGTTTGATGTACCAGTGTTTACAGCTAAATCTAACAATCCATCGCGTGGTCACATTTTGCTTCCAATATGTCGTTACGTTCCATCAATAATTGTCGTTTTTGTGGCATTTTTTTTGTATTAAAAGCCGATTTTTAATAAATTTCTTCTTAGTGTTTCCCAATGTAGGCCAATTTTCTCCTTCATTTTATTAACTAAACTAATGCTCGTAGGGACTTTTTTACCGATCATGTAAATTTCACTCTTCAAGACGCCTAAATCAGAATTATCCAATGTTATTTTGTTGGAAACTCCATTTTACGGTTTCTTTGAAGGAGATTTCAATGTCCTATCCTCGGTAAGTTTGGTTTCGTTTCTACAGAATAACAATAAGTAGGTATTTATTTAAGAAGAACATCATTGAAATTAACATTACCTAATTTAGTTATGAGTTTGATTGATTTGCCGTCACAGCAGCAGCTAGCTCTGTAGCCTTTTCCAAAGGAAATGTCCACATACTGGCAGTTTTCTGTTTGTCAAAGAATTCCACGACCCTTTTAATAATACTTCTAGGTTCTGAATGCACAGGTATTACAGGAGGTTCAATATTTATAACCTTACGCGTATGTCACATCTGTCACATAAGCGGTAATGACAAGATAACGAAATTTGAGTGGCTACCAGTGACATCACTAGCAGACGACTGGATCCCAATTATTGCAGTTACGAGGCAACCTGTAATATACTAACCTTGATCCCAGTCATCTTCGGCAGAGTCGAAAATATTTATGTTTATTTATGATAAAAAAATCACAAAGAAACACGTGCTGTCAGCTTGACAAGTAGGTAAGTGACAAACGAGAACGACATACAAAGCCGCTACCAATAGAATGGGAGAATAACTTTAATGCCTGGTATATCCAAACAATTTCAAAGGGATAACTTATCCGCCATTTTATGCCTGGAATAACGCTATTCTGCAAATGTAGAACTAAATTTTCGAATGTTACTCCAAGAATAGCTTATCCGTGGTATATACTAGCATTGTAGAACCGGCCTGTCACTCTAGTGTCTACATTGATGAGCTGTCTGTAAAAGCGCAACCCACAATTTTCCAAATTAGTACGGACTCATTTATTATCCTATACTATAGGGCCATAGCTATTCGTGATGAAAATGTAAAAGCAATTGAAACAAAACTATTTAATAATGTCAGGTATTTACATTGTATTTCCAAAATATTGCACGGTGCAGATTTACCAAAGTTCGCATTTCTCGAATGGATTCATTGTAGAATTCGCAGGACAGTTAAAATCTCTTGAAAAATCTTCCATATTAGATAACGTGCCAATTACCCGATATTTATAAGGTGATGTGCCGAACGGTGCAACATCAACGTGATTGTATTGCGATTTTGAGCACCACAGTTGGGCGAAAGCTATCCAAAACATCTGGTTTTGGGTGTAATTTAATCCAGCATATTTTCGTTCTGGATTAGTTTTTTTGGTGGAAGTCATATAGGCTAAGCGAGAAATTTTTAACCCGGCGTTGTCGGCTACGTTTTCACGAAGAGTAACTTTTCCGTCAATCTGTAATATAAGTTTTAAAATGAACACAAAACACAAAATTGCATCGGACCTTGTCTAGATTTTCGTATTGTTTAATAAAACACTGTACTTTGTTTTCATATTTAAGAATCGTGCCCTCACTCCACCAATTGTTCCAATTTCCTTCTTTGTCATACTTTCTTCCTTCATTGTCAAAACCATGTATTACTTCATTTGCGATTATCATACCAGCTTTTCCATAATTCAAATACTTTGGGAAATCGATGTCGAACACCAATTTCGGAAAAGTTGTACCCATTACATCTAGATCAATAAATGTTATGCCGTGCACCCTGCAAGTCATATCTTACCCAAACTGTTGTACACCATATCATATCCGATTCGGGTGTTTGATTTATCACGCCGCCTAACCATCATAACTTTATTGGAGGGTTGATGTAATCTACCAAATTTTTGGTTTTCATTAAATATATTAAGTAATAACGTTGAATTTAAATAAGATACAGAGTCAATAACAAGCTATAACCAACCCGTTAATTCAAACTACCACTCATATAAAGTATACCTTTGAGTAATACGCTTCAAGAAAGTGATCCTCTAGTAAATCATCAGGATAACCCATAAACCAGTCAATAGCGTTAGCCTTTTCGATAGATTTGTTTCTCGAAGGTTCATCAAGCCATTCATAGGATTTTAATAGTGTTAGAAGCTCTGCACGTATGTTGGTGAGCATTTCCTTTACATCATTTTTAGTATCGTTGCTAAAGTACGTTTTTGAATACAATGAATACAATGGTAAACTCAAACTAAAACATAAACGCATTTAGTTTGTTAACGACGTAATTTTTAATAGATAAACCACCTTTTCAATTGATCTTCTATGCATAAATGAGATCGTGAAATAAGATTTTCTCCTGCCAGCTGCAGGTGTCTAATGCGTAACGCTTTGCCTGCATAACGGAACATCCATTCCAACACTTCTAAAAAGATATAATTCGCGAGTACTCTGAAGACAATTACATAATCGATTGCGGTCGACTGTTTATGGACACTTTACCTTGGTTGTGCTTTGGCTAGCAATATAAGCACCTTGCTTACTCGAGAAGGAGATAACACGATTAATTTATCATCATTGCTTAACGGATCTTCAACTAAACCTTGGAGATATTTTATCCACTCCAGTTCACGAAAATTATCTTGCAATTTCTTAATGGTCAATACGATAGGTGTCTCATTACGGACTTCTTCATTGATCTTTGTAAATTTAGTTTTAATATGCGTATTATTCAAGACCATTATCCCACGTTACTGTGACACTCATAAGCGTAATAAATTTAGGCAATGAAATGGGAAAATGGTCTCATTTTCACATTATTGACACTTGCCTTCATTATATTGTTCCGAAATGTAACAAACTGGATAAGATCTTCGGTTGATATCGCACTCAGATTTAGTACACGTAATGTTTCATTTACATACTTTTCGGCTTGTATCAAAGGTGCTGTGCAACAATCTATCTGAAAGACACAATTAATAAGTCTTTATTTTCTTACTCACAGTTAAAACATTTTTAGAGGTGTTGTAAAGGTTGGGTTGAACGTCTATCTGAATAAAGGAGTTGTAGGGAAGTCCAAGCTTCTTCGATTTAACCATCACTTCAGTCCAATGAAAATTGTTTGGGTTCCATTTAATTCCTTCCAAAATAGGCCAACTTGATAACTGGGTAATTATACTAGGGATCATTATTACGTCTTTTGCATTATTGTCAAGACAAAGATTGTACAGTTTTGTTAAAATATGATGATGTTTCGGACCAGAGAACGAAGTATTGAACAGCAGTTCGATACGAGTGTACATCGCCTCGGACACGTCTGTAAAAATATTCCTGGTCTGTTGGTGTTCTTCAAGGATTATTTCGTTTTTGTAATTGCCACACGCAAATTCATAAAAGTCGGTGCAGGGATCGACAGAGGTATCTAACTTGTGTGAGATTTGAAATGAGGTTTCTATGCAGCCTGGAGTCAAGCAAGCTTGCCTAAAAACAGAGTTTGAGGTACCAAAAGCATATTTATACCGATTAACCGATATAAGGGAAAAACTTACGGATCTTCTTTGCTCAATACGATTATTATAATTGCTTCGATAAACAGTAATATCAACAATATAATCGTCGATATGTGCAATACATTTAAACGGTCACTCGTAATTTTTCTAGATTTGGACCATAGCTCGCTCCTGTATTGTAGGGACAACAATGTAAAATTAAACTTGAACTTACACTTACACTTACATTAATTCACTAGTACTTGAATGGATTGTTGGATTAGGATCTGAATCTTGAAACGTTGTAACGCTGGTGGATGTCACAGTTTTAACTCCGTTCTTTTCCGGTATCGGTTTCTCGCACCAACCATCGTCAATTTTTCGCATGTCATTTGGGTTTGGAAACGCAAGTTGAACAAGTTCGGCGTACGTTTCATGCTATTTAATTAAAACAATAAATTTTTTCTTGCGCAAAAAATGCAGCAGAAGAGATATTGTGTACTTACTCTTGTTCTGGTAGCCAAGGGTTTCTCCATTTGTACGTTCAACCGCTAACGCTCACTGGTAAATAAATATGATGCATACGTTACGAACAGAACAAAATCCAATACGTATACGACAATCAATATAAAAGTTTATGTAAAAAAGCGTTAGTTTGTAACTCGGTCATCGATAAGTACCAGACAAGTATGTAACAGTTTTGTTTCAGTAAGATTTCCGTAAGAATCCCAAGATAAGATTGAGGGTGCGTTGAAGAATCGTGTTATAAGAAAATTGTCGTTCTCAGTTATACTTTTGATTTAGTAAATAAGAGTAAGTGATATAAAATTATGGACCAGCAAACTTAATGTACTAACTTCTAATGCAGAGTACTTACCCTTACCACAAAAATCAATGTTGGAAATTGGTATCATTATTTAATCAATTTACAGCCAAATTATCATATGAGTGCACAATAGCATCATATGTGTTAAGAACTTTAGTCATTCCAATGCAGACTGCAATAATTTCATGACGGACGAACCTAACATTTTAAAAGCAGCACATCTACAAAACAAGTTGGAAAGTACTCGATGGGCGGTTTTGTGCGACGGATCGAGGTTTTATTAGTGCTGAAATACAATCTGCATGCAAAAAATTTTGACACAAAGTGGTACACGGGATGATTCCTTCGAGAGATAAACTTAAAAAACCTTTGCAGTCGAACGCCCGAACAGTCAAAGTAAATATATAAGCGCTACTGTTTTTCAAAAATGCGCTAAAAATTACAAAGTACCACAATTTGTTAAAATAAACGCAATTGCATTTGGCTGCTAAAATGTTAATCTATGCGGGTGTGTATTTGTTCTCGCAACTTATACACCGAAACAATATGTACACTCATTGCGCGGCCAGCGCCTTATAAGACATTCGTATTTTTCCACTCCTAGATTATAGTGTATAGTATTGAATGTTTGGTAATTTTTTCAAGTCGCACGTCGCACAGAACGCAAATATGATTTTTGTGTCAATTTTCTTTAAAATTATTACGTTTATAACAGTGGCGACTCATAAGTTACTTAGCTGATGAGACTGGGGCACGGTAAAAGCGAAGGGGGGAGGGGTCTCCAGTTTAGCTGCATTTTTGAAAATTTTTTACTCCAAAAATATTAAAAAAATTATTGGTTTTCTTATATATTTTAACGGGTGTACCTATAAAGTACCTAGACATTGAAAGTAAAAGAAGTCAGCTGGGTGAGTTACTTAATTTTACAGGCCCTTAAATTTATGTGACAATTAGCGACTATTTTAGTCGCGTTACTTAAACAATAAAGGTCACGTAACCCAATCATTTTTTCATACCAAGTCTTAGTAACAGCTTTATTTGATTTCCAACAGTTGCTTAAAATCAAGAACGGGACGCTTCCACTACCACAAATTAGATGAATGTTAGTAATGTTTTCATTATATCATACATTAAATAATAAAACTCAATAGGGATACGGCAAATTCTTTCAATATATCCTCTACTTCTACACTTTTTGTCATGTCTGCATGCACATGCAGTAGAAAATGTGTTTGTCCCTTTTGAGTAATTTATCTACTCAATCTTAGAAGAGGCGCGGCCCCCCTTGCAACTCGCCCCCTCTGACCCATACTTCCGACGTCGCTGCAAATGAGTTTTAAATAAAAATTATATTGATGAAGTCATAATTGCCCCGGCAGATAGCATTTGCCTGAAATAACTATTTGCCTACGACATATACACCTTTATTACGGCATGTTAATGAATATGTGAAAAATCGACATTGATATCATGCCGGCTAAAAAAGTTATAAAGAATTGAGGGTATCCATGTTTCTTGAACTGAACTGAAGTTATAAATTTTTTGTATTTGTATTTGTATATTTTTATATTGCCAGTACATTCCGTACAGAAATATGTATGCAATATTTGTCATAAATTGTAACAGCAGAAATTATATAGAAAAGAATAACAACTAACAAGATTAACAAATTACCAATATAACATAAATAAATAATAAATATAATGAAACAATATAAATAAAAATAAAATTATCTACAGATATACTAACATGCCAACATAACTACGGAAAGCGTTTTCTTTTTATTTCGATAACGAGATGTAGTCACTTAAGCAATAAAATGTATATTGGAGTAAAAACTGTTTGAGTTTTAACCTAAACTGTCTAAAGGTAGGGATATTAATTGCGTCTGGTAGTACATTAACAATTTTGCAGCATTGATAATAGTTATTTACATATGAGTATGGTAAATCAAGGTTTACGTTAACGAGTAAGATGTTTACTGCCGAAGCGTAGCTGAGGCAGGAATTTCGAAACGAGTAACGTTAACTGATTTAACATACAAATAATGTAAAACATTTTATTTGTTACTCAGTTGTAAACGTTGATTAACAAGACAAAACGCAAACGGGTAAACGTCATGTTTAAACGCTACTGACTTGTAAAACTGACAGCAGACTTGTAAAACTGACAGCAGACCTGTAAAAATTTTACAAGTTAGTAATCTAGTAATTTCATTGGCCAGAATTAATGCGAAGTCTCTGTTACATGGATCACATGATATTTTAGACATTTCTTCAAGATCAATTTAAGAACTAATTATTTACGTTTACAAATGAGTAACAAATAAAATATTGTACATTATACGCCAGGTAATAGTTTTTACTGGCTCTAGGAGATGACAGGCTCGCCAGTCAACTTCTCCTATCGCCAGTAAAAACTCACTTACCTGGCTAATAATGTAAAATACTATTATTTCATACTGCACTTTTTTCTATTAAAATGCCATACAATTTTTGATTAGAATGTTGTACGCATTCAAATGAAAGCAAAAGTGGATCACTTGATTTATTTGATCTGACTGTAGTTTGATACATTAAATATATAGGTTTAGATGGATGTCAGTTGATGTTGCTAGGCAACATTTCCAGTCTGGTAAAACACGATTTACCAGACTCAAATGGGTCTGGGAAAGCGGCGATTACTAGATAGTATGAAATAAATTAAATTATTCTGGAATAATGCTGTCCTATGTTTACCAGGGTTTAGATTAGTTTTATGTCTAGTGCTACAATTATGTACAGCCTACAGGTTGAAAAAAGCGAGTCTTATTTTTATACCCGAAGCAGCATATTTCCAAAATTTACGTGTCTACAACTGTTAATATATTTAATTTTTTAAAATATGATCGGCAGGAAGTTCTGAAGGGTAGATTGCAGATGGTTCTAATCGCCCGTTCGCGTTGTACTTGAGCACCACCCAAGTTTATTATATTGTATAAATGTGCGAGTGAAAGTTCGAATGATACAGGGTGAGAAGCGTAGATCTAGTGCAAAGATTTTTTAAAGCATTTAGCGAGTAGCAACAATTTCGCAATTTTTTACATACGTTATCAATATGTAAGGACCATGTAACATCCTGACAAACAGTCAGGCCAAGTATTTTTGTCGACTCTAGACAGGTTAAGCCTCCAACTCCAAGATCTTTTGTATTACAGATACTACGTGTACTTCCAAAAGGAACCAACACAGTTTTGTCCAAGTTAATAATCACTTTATTATTAGTGCCCCATCGGTGTAGTTTATCCAGCGTATGCTTTATTATAAAAGTAAGATCAGACGTTGTTTTTGCCTTAATTAAAATGTTAGTGTCGTCAGCGTATGAAATGACGGTTATATTCTTACTATTGTTATTTTCCACAAGATACGGTACAAGGTCATTGCTATATATTATAAACAATGTAGGGCCTAAAATTGAACCCTGTGGTACCCCTGACTGTATAGTTAATGCGTCACCACGTTCACCACTTGGCAGTTTGGGTGTTAACCAAGGAAGCGTGGTTCGTTTTTGTTGTTTATGTGGAAGTAGGGAAAAGTTTAAATTAAAATGATACATAAAAATATGGAAGAAAGGCTTGTTCAGAATTTCTGGTAGTATACACAACCTCCCAGTGCTCTAGTGAAAGATCATATTTAAATTGCTCTTTATTGGTATCTGAGAATACCCGACGCTTACGCCGAATTGAATGAATGTTTTCTAACTTACTCGGGCTTTGTATAGTCAATAGCTGACCATAGTGGGTCAGGTCAAAAGGTCGCGAAAATCAGTTTTCCGCGAATATCTCGCGACCTATTGCTCGGAGGGCAATATAGGTTATTACAAAAATTGTTCACGGTGCAATTATCTACAAAAAATGACTCCTGCATTTTCCTGTAAGGTCAATCGTTCTTTGAAGTAGAGCGCTGAGAAAGCTACTAGAATTCATTCATATACAGTACTGTATACCGTACACCAAGGCGTAAACTCGATTGCTCTTTATTCATGTTTTTTAATATATTAAAATTAAAGTCATGAATAAAAGACCAGATTTAAACAATTCTGCAGAAAAATTGCAAAAGCAAAAACGATTATAATTGGCGTTGGAAAACTTCCTTCGTCTAAATGTATTGTCTAAATTGGCAACATTTCGAGTACTAGAAACTTTAAGTAGCTGGGCATTATGGTCCGATACGTCTAGGTTAATATTAAGGACAGTGGACGAAGATAGATTTTTAGTAACAAAAAAATTGTCAATACATGTTGCAGATGTTTTAAAAACACAAGTAGGTTCTTTTAGAGTATGTATGTGAATGTAGTCGCATTCTCAGCGCTCTACTCCAAAAATGGTTGATCTTACAGGAAAATGCAACACATTTTTTATAGATAATAATTGCAGGATGAACAATTTTTGTAATAACTCCTGTTGCCCTCAGACCAATATAGGTCGCGAGATATGCGATTTCGCGACCTTTTGACCGCCGGCACGATATCAGTGTCGATTTTTCACATATTAATTAAAATGTCGTAATAAAATAATACAAAAATTCAGCTCACTAGGAATTTTTCCGTAGATAAAACCTATAATGACTGGACTATCATGGTTTTTCCAGTATAATTTTCATTTTGTTACAGTTTTTTTGTCAACGATTGTTATTTTTTTCAATTGGATATTTGACTGCTCAATAGACACTGAAACGACGAAGCAGAGCATTTATTTTTTTCCGTTATAACTTTGGCACCTGTAGACAACTGAGTTTCTTTCTTTTTTTGTATTGCCATTAAGCACAAAGCTATTCCTCAAAGTTCTAAAATGAAAAAGAAGAAACCCTGATTGTGCACTTTTATTGTCAGATGACAGTTACATTAGATCCAAATGCAAATAAATATTTATCTAAAAAATTTATTACATTCTTTTATACAAAATTACAGCGCATCATACTTTTTTTTAGTGATATTGGGAAACTACTTTCTGATAAATGCATCTCTGTACAACTTATCACTAAACTCCAAATAGACGCCGTCTCAAAGACAGATAAAGAAACTGAATTACTATATGTATAATAGTAGTAAATTTCTAGGATTATTTGTATTTTCCAAAATATATAATTGTTCCAAATTAAAGTATAGCATACAAGCAGTAGTTATTATTGGTGTCAATAAATTGGTTAAGATTAAAATTAAATTTGAGTGATAATACAAAAGTCAAATTACGTGCACAGATTGCTTTCTCCTAATAAAATCAAGCAAAACAAACACTACCTAAAGATTTACACAAATACGAATAATAGGTTTCAATAAATTTATAAAAAATAGTAACATACATCATCGTTAAGTTTTTAAGATTATTATGTAAACCTTTGGCATATCATTTGAATTTGTAAACGTCTATTTTAAGTATAACTAAAATATATACATCACAAGTATAAATACATCATACATAAGTTTCAGTCTACCTTTACAACACTATAGATCTTTCTTATAAACCAAAAGCAGGCAAAGAACCCAATTGTGCCAGTCAACAGGTTAAACAAAAATACCATAATTAATGTGTAACCGAAGTAAAGTAATCCAGATGTGAAATCTTCTATTTGCAACTTGGTGAAGAAATAGTGGCAACAATATAAAAATAAATAGAAGGCGGTAAATCCGGAAGTAAGATAGGATCTCCACCACCAATGATAATCTTCCGCGCAAAGGTGGAAGTAGCACAGTAACAAAGTAGTTTCCGCACACGTTATAACTAATATTAAAAATACAAGAAACAGAAAGCCAAACATGTAATACATCTGTGATGACCAAATTGAATTCAAAATGAAAAATAACTGAATGAATATGCAACCGAATGGCAGGACACCTCCCATTACTATTCCCGGTATAGGTTGAGTGTAGATCGATTGTTCGGGAATAAGTCGTGGTATTTGATTCGTTCGTACAGGATGTTCCAACGCCTATGTATTAAAATATTAACTCAAATTTTGCAGCTGGTTTAATCTTACTCTTTTTCTAAATCCGAAGTATGCTCCGACAAATGTGAGTGGTACCGAAACACCGAACCACAAGGCTAGTAATGCGAGAAGGGTTGTAAAAGGCACTGCCGCTGAACTTCCGTTACCCCACAAAAACAAGTTCATTACGAAAAATAGACAGAAAACTATGCTGCAATACAAAGTCTGATTAGTCAAGTGAGCCGAAGCGTAGCTTATTTACCCTGGGCTAAGCATGGAGGTAAGTAACACGTTGGATTTCCACTTTTCCCCTCCGAAGCTCTTGTAAACTCTAGCCGAGACGTATCCTGCTGGTGTTCCAAGAAGAACGTACAAGACCATGGCACAGGTCATCAGTGCACCTCGATTTGCAGGACTTAGGAATCCCATACACGCGAACGCCAACGTAACCAAAGTCATACAGAAAACTTGAACGCCCGAACCCAACAGAACAGACAGTAACATTCCTTTTCGTGGCGGTCGAAAAACGTCCCCGTGCACAAGTTTCCAACCGAACTCTTCCTGCAACGAAATTTATTAACGGAAATTTCACAGACTCTACACTTACTTGAGCATCCTCGCCGCTGTCAATCTGATTGTACCTCGCTATATCCTTGTGGAGGGTTCTCAGTAGTATCATCGCGACCATTCCGGAGAGGAATAAAACAATCACCAAAGAGTTGAGTATACTAAACCACTGAATGTTGGTATGCGGCATTGATTCCAAAATGTAATCCCATCTCGATGACCATTTTATTGTGTTGTTCATAATAAATGTTACAGAGTAGGTGTATTTAATTTCAAAGTTCTCATTTGATCCTAGGGCCTTGTTTGGAATTTCTAAGGGTTCTTGAGATGTGCAATCCAGTACGCTACAAAAAACGGCCAGTGTGTGTTAGTTAAGGGCAAATTATAATTATGTTCTCAATTAACAATCAATGTGGGGTATACCGCCACCGTTATTCCATGTCCGGGTCGCCAAATAAGAATGGTCATATCTCAGGAACTAGTAAACGTAGAGCTTTTAGGTAAAAAATTATGTAATAAAAGTGGCCAAGAGAAATTGCTGGAAATTATTTTCGAGGGTATAAAATCACCACTAGGGGGTACAACAGTCACGATCAAATGTTTTTTTCACATCAATATTGATTTCTCATGTTTAGTTTAACCGATTTTTAGCAAAGTTGGTCGTTTGAGAGAAAGAAGTTTGGCCAACCAACAGCCTATTTGCTTTATAATTACCTGGTAATTTTACGATCGTCACTAGAGGGCGTTAACTGAAATTGAATTATGATTTTTATTGAAAAAATTAAATGAGATGATTTTATTTTTTTTTTATTGATATTGGCCAAAATATATTAAGATATATGAATTCTTTGAATTTACCGCCCTTTTTTTATATTGGACGATTTTAATTACCTGGAAAACCCAGATATTCAAAAACTATCAGAGATAGGTATAGGACATTACCAAAAGTTGAACGTTTATGGAGGAGCTAAAAGTGAGATTTTTAATTTTAAGTTTTGTAACTTTGGACCTATAAAGAAAACTGTAAATTGATTTTTAATTGTTTGATTGTAGATGTATTTATTTTACTTTTACTTTACCCAAGATAAAAGATATAGAACCTGGAATCAAAATTTAAGTAATAATTTTGACAATATATTTAAATTTTTCCTCTGAATCGAATTATCTTTCTTCGTATATTAACCAAGGTAGTACAATTACACATTTTAAAAAATGTATTCAAATACAGAGGGTTCAATTAAAAAAAATGTACCTATTTATCTTCCTACTTCATCACTGCACCCTATATAATTCAAAATATTTTTAAAATGTGGAGAACATTCAATCATATCATAATACAAAAGCACCTTATGAAAAAATCTAATCTCAAGGCACAATCCGTCCGCACAATCGTGCTCACTCTGTACAGGGTTAACTATCTTAGAAACTAGTAGACAGAGCTTTCGGGTACAAAATGCTGGTAATTATTTTTGAGTGATTCGGGAAATTTCAAATTCCAAATACACCTAATTTAAAGGACAAATTATCCATGCAAATGCAGCTATAACTACAAGAATTACATTGGCATTAAAAAATTATCTAGTGGTGATAGACCTTTAACAATCAGCCTAAGGAACTATGAACCGTTAAACTTAGTTTCTTACTAACCTGTGATGCTTAATACTTCTGGGTATAACTTTAACAGATATGATTCTACCTCCATTTTCTCCAAAACTCGAACCCCATTCCTCTTTAGCACCCGAATGGTATGTAATCGTCAAATCAACATGGTTGTAAATATAGTAAGCGTTTTTATTTGCGACATTCCTATAGCACGTATCCCTCTCGTCCTTCGAATAGCAACCCATGGGGAAACCGATGCTGCAGTACTGATGCTGATCTTCCGTTTCGTAGCAGCTTGTTACAGGCATATTATCGACAATCCAATGGTGTTGATAATTCAAACTGATACCTTTTCTTAGCTTACTTAACAACGTATCTGCATTTCGATCGTTTTTAGTGTATGTTTTATTGCACAATGGCACACAAGTTTGATTCTTCATAAATTCCACCTTGTAGGCGGACGGTCGGATACGTTCGCCGAAAACTACCTGACCCAGATTTTCAACTGGGGATTTTTCATTCTCATTCGGTAAACAAAAATCGAAATGACTATATTCGTAGGGAATAACCGATTCTTCTGTGTTTAGCCGATTTACATATAACAATACCCGAGACTAAAATATTTAGCTATGTAATGCAAGCAAATGTTGTCTTGTACCTTCTTACCTCACAACTGCCGAATTCTTCACCTGATTTACAAAAATTAACAGGAGCAAGTCCAGGTAAGTAGAATGCTTTTGTAAAAGTAAGCAATAGGGTAACAATAACTATGTAGTAACGCATTTTTCTAAGTAAAACAGCCACATAGAATGTTCATAATTTGATGCAACGTATTCTTTTAGCCGGACTATATCAAGAAACGTCACCACAGCAAATACAGATAAAACACGCGCCGACACGTAAGGCTTTTATACTCTCTATAATTAGGTTCTATTGTAACTAATGGTGTTTTTTAAACGAAATATATAAGTGTAATAATTGTAGTGTTCGTTTTGTGAGCCCCAAAACACTCACATTCTCTAATAAAAAAATTAATTTGGTTCGAGTCTTCGGTTCCGTCTGTCTCGAGGTTTGAAACCTTGCTAGTTGCTGCTTTGCTTCATAATGTTGGTACTCCTTTTCGATAAAAATGCAATGTTGCCAATTCTAGTTCATGACAATACAGGTTCAGAGATATAGAATCTATATCTCTGTACAGGTTGCTTCAACAAAGATAGAATACAACAAACGTTAAATCGGGTATATATACCATAGTATAAGAAAGTGATAAACGTGCTTAAAATGAAATCATATTGCCACCAATGGAAGCCTTAAATGAAAATCTACTTATTACTACAGTGGCACCACGCTCAGAAAGTCCCTGACAGGGCGTGTCCGAGGGCGCTAGAAATTTAGACCGTACATTCTGATGCAAAATTTAAAAACACGAAGGGAATTAAATACCTTATCAGATCGTAGATCCAAGCTATGCGTCTTGAAAAAGACGAGTTTATATAAAACTGGAGACGGAAAACGTAAAAAAAAGCAAATACAAGAAGCAAAGTGTAAACTAAAATAACGTGAAACGTCAACTGTCAAAACCAAATAATTAATAATTATGGCGCGGAATGTATCGCGTCGTTTTGCAGACTTTCTATTGGCCAGCCTGAATTATTTCAAAATTAGTTCGCATATTTTCCGGGGCTTTTCTGAGCATGGTGGCACTGTACTCGTGTCGAAAACGTTAACTTTCTGAATAATAAGCGGCGTAACATGCTTGTAATAGTATCACGGCCGATGTGCGACAATTTTAAATTCAAATTAACAAAATCCCCGCGCACTGTTAAGTAAGTACCGTATCGACAGTATCCGCGGCTTTTCCTGAATCTACCGATTGCAGTCGAGTACGGTACAATCAACACTAGACGCGAAACCACTTGTCTTCTGGTAAATTGATACCCATACAAAACAAGCATTTCCAATGCTAAAAGGTATGGTCCGTACGCTCTTCAATTGTGTGGCATTATTTAAAAAAAACAGATGTCTTGTTTTCTATAGGTTGATGCAATGGAGCAGCAATTATCATTTTAATAAATTTAAATTACAATTTGTATGTACCTTAATATGTATGTAAGGTAATAGTGTTTTTTAAACTGTACTTTTTGTTTAGAACATCCTGTACAACGAATTAAAGTGTCTGTTGGTAGAACTGGACGGGTTGGTTTCTCGAATCAACTGCGTCGCTCTAGTTGACGCATGCGTCATGCGATCGTCGGATCTTGAACTGCGTTATTTTTGTAATTATCTTTTACGGAAGTTTAAGAGTTTATTATAGAGAATAGTAGTAGATTCTTCAAGTAAAAAGTGCAATAGACTTATTTTAAGTCGAGCGGTAGGTGGCTTTACTACACACTAATACTTAGTTGTTAGTCCATATACAAATAGAGGTATCGTTGTGGTAAATGGCGTACTTTGTTACCATAACCTCACAAACTGTTTTAGTTTTATAACTTGAAGTACTCAATTTTAATGTGGTATTCACATGGCGTGTTTCAGATGCGTCGTAAAAGTAGCCGCACAGCAGCGAAAGCTACACCTGAAAAACCGGTGGAGTCGCCGAGGAAATCACGTAGACAATCAAAACGCCACAAGAAGTCGTCATCTCCATCGTCTAGTGAGGAACCAGTAGAAGATGTTGTAGTTGAATGTGATCAAAAACAATCGGAGATACAGGCTGGCAAGTCTGTTGAGTCCAAACCAGAAGAACAGACAACATGGAAAATTGCACCTTCATCTACACCAACCGGAGAGGTACAGACGCTGAAGTTGTGTTTAACGAGACCATCATCGTTATCTCCTGAAAAGATAGAAAAATGCACTAGACGGCGAAGGAGCAAGTCAGGAGGTCAAACGGAGGAAGATGTGGTTTCCAATGAAATTATGCTTAGAAAACTTAGACATCGAGGCTCATCTGGTGAGAAGTTTGAAGACCAAGACGAAGATAGTGACCACCAGGAAGATAAAAAAGGTAAAGGTAAGTCTAAAGCTAAACATAAATCAAAAAGTGAGAAAGATCAACAAATACAAGACTTAACGGATATCAGTCAAAGTGAAATTTCTGAAAATGTACAGGTGACACCTCAGTCACCCCAAGCCCCTATCGATATTGCGGTTGATAATGAGAATGTGTCCACTAATGAGAATGAAACAGTTATTCCCGCCGAAACAACTGGCCAACCTGTTGAAACTACCAACTGTGATAAAGCTATTGAAAACGTGGAAACTAATGTCAGTGATGAAAACAATAGAGACAGTGATACACCACCTCCCACACTTGAGCAACAGGAAAGTGATAGAAATCATTTAAATGAACAATTTAAGGGTTTCGATACTGCCCCCGAGTTAGTTAGGGTAGATTCGGAAGTGGTTAAAGAAGTTGTAAGTCCCCAAGTGCGTGAGGAAGTAGTAATCGAGTGTAAAAATGCTGATGACGACAGTGTCCCAAAAGTAGGGGCAGAAGTCGTGAAATCGCCATCTGTTGAAATTAATCAAGAAGAGTCAAGAGATGACGAACCTGAGATATCCCTACCAACGTCTGATGGTCAGAACAAGCCTGAAAGTAATTCTTCAGATGGGGGAGGTAAGTACCTATTTGTAATTTTAATATTCTTCATTGACTATAATTGGGGACAAATTTTTGTTTCACTCTGCCATTTTGATCTTGAGCAGTGGAAGTGGTGTGGGAAGTCATCTGATATACACAGATTGCTAACCTTATGCATTTCATGGGTAGCACATTTAGGTATACTGAAAAGCGCCCTCTATTGAGCAGCAGTATAAACAAAGTATAAAAAAAGTATTGACCATTCTTCCTCCAGAAACAGGAGGTGCAACTTAAGATACTTTGGCTGGCCATTAAGATTTTTTAACATGTCAACAGATGGCACAATTATTAATTTGTTATTACTTTATTTGGAATGTGTCGTTTTTTTTATTTTTGTTGTCTCGTCCAGTATGGGTTTCTTGTTTTGGTTGTTGAATATCAACTTGTCTGAATTATGGCAATTGCCTGAATTTGGGATATTGACCCTAACACTCCTGTTTTTATAGAGCATGTGATACCCTCTGATGAAAGTGCTTCGCATAGCACCCCTGTGTCTACAGAGCAGGTGGTTGCTATGATTCCCATTGAAGAAAGTCCACCAGATACTGCTCCTGTGTCTACAGAGCAGGTGACTCCCATTGAAGCGAGTGCACCAGATGATACACACAATGTAAGCATGGACACTGCAGAAGAGACCAATCGTTCTGACGACGATTCCGCATCGGCAGATGTAACTATGGATACAACTTCGGTTAAGGACTCAACAAGTTTGGATATCACTCAATCATTTAGTCCAGATATTCGGCAAATTGTGGAAGTTAATGAAGAACTTCAAAATTTAAAAAATGACACGTTGCAAATTTTGGAAAAGGTAGCGAAGCCTCGGGTTGCACGCACTTGGGGTAGTCCCTATATATCATTAGAACTCATGAAAAATTCCCTCCAAAAGATCGACGTCAACACAATAAAACTATTTTGTCCGAACGTTAAACTTCTACAGGAAGATGAAGTTAAAATGGATATTCGTGAGAGAAAATCTTCACACATGCAAGAGGGTAGGGAGAGACGTATCAATCGAAAGGTTTCCATTGATTTCAAACCAGAAGATGGAGAATCAAAGAGGTTAAGCACACAAAGTTCTGTAAACTCTGAAATAGAGGAGGCTGTCGAACCGGAAGTCGACAATTCCAATATTATCGCCATGAATCGCAAGATCTCTATTGTTGATGATACGGCTAGTAAACTGAAACCTCCTCCCAGCCCGGCCAAAAATCCGATTTCAGAGTTGCTTTACATAACAAACCTTGTGCGACCCTTCACTTTGAAACAACTGAAGGAATTACTGGAACGAACTGGGAAAATTCGCGAGAATGGATTTTGGACAGATCGTATTAAATCAAAGTGTTATGCGTATTACGAAACTGCTGAGTAAGTCAAAATAGGCAGTGGTATCACACTGTAATCACTGAATTACAGGGAAGCAGAGGCAACGCGTAATGCCTTACACGGAGTGCACTGGCCAATAGGAAATGGCAAAAAATTAATAATCGAGTACTCGACAGAAGAGGATTTGGAAAAAGCAAGGAACCCGACACCACCCCCACCTCCTCCTGTTGTTCCTCCACCTCTTATGGCCAACGTAGCAACTTTAGATAAACAGGTTCCTGTGGATGAGGTATAAGCCCTCTCTTAGTATTTTCATTTGTTTCTATTAATCTTTTAGCCACCCAAGAACAGTAAACCTGAAGAAAGCGAAAGACCAGTGAAGGAGCATCAGCATTCAAGAGGTGACGGTCACGTTCGGGAGTGGGACATCGGTAAAGAAAACATGCACAAACCCCGATACCGAAGCAGAGAACGAGACGAAAGGGATAGGGAACGGGGTCGTGAACGAGAAAGATTGGAAAGACACAAACGTAGGAGAACCCCTTCACCTACCGACAGTATGTTTACTTTTTTGGTCTCAATTTATGCAGATTAAGTCAGCTATGCATTCCAGCAATAAATTTGCATATTTGATCTGAGTTAGCAAAAATATGCAAACCACCCTTAAAGATTTCATAATTCTGTTTCTTAAAACAACATTGATTTATTGCTTACTTTATTACCATAAATTATCCATTGCTATCTTCATTTAATTTCTAATAATTATAATTACAATAATAACAATTCTAGATTACCTGAATCGCAAAGAAAAAAAGAAAGAGGAAGACGTACCTCAAAAGTTAATGGACGACCTATTTAGAAAAACAAAAACCACGCCAAGCATCTATTGGCTGCCTCTCACTCCCGATGAGGTATACCCACAATAATGTCCTACCAAGTTTTATTCTCGCTTTCTAGATTGCAACAAAGCAACAGCAAAGGCTTCTGCGAATGGCAGAACACAAACGGCGAATGGAAGAATCGTCACGTGGTAGTAGGGGTGATTACGGGCGGGGGGCTCCATACCGTCGAAGATATGATTAAACTTGAGTATATTATCGCAAATCGTGTTTCGCAGGTTTACACATTTCTCACTCGCTGAACTGACTTGCTCATTTTTTTGCATGTAGGTTTCTTAAATATTTCTAAATTTCAGATATCTGCCTGCATTTTAAGCGTTAACTCGACAATTTTGTTGTTTTTTTTTTAATGAATTGGGATGTGTTTTCAAAATTTTTAATATGGTTTCATTTGATCTTTTATTTTTGGGTACAAGTGGTGGTAATGTGTATAAATTGTGTGTGTGTTAACACCTTTTATTATAGGGTTATCTACAGCCTAGGTGGTTTAATTAAAGATGAAGCTCCAATTCAACTTCGACAAGGATATCCATTCCACTTTTACTGGCATCTTCTGTCACAATGTTACTAATACTGTTTCCGCGTACCATGTAATTAATTGTGTGCATATTAACAAAGAAAGTTTTTTTCGTAGTGGCATGAGAAACATTGCCTATTTGTAGACGTACAATTTATTAGCTCATTGTAAATATTTGATTAAAGTATTTATCACACTTGTCTACTTTTAATAATGTTCAAATTCCCGTTGTAAAAAAATATATGTGAAATCTAGAAATAAATTTATATACTGCCATTTATGTTGTGTTTGCATTGTGGAGGTTATAAGAAATTAACACCTTGGCTTTGACAATCTTTTATTATTTGTTTCATAGTTGGGGTTGGTAGCAGTATTGTGTTGTTTGTACAAGTACAGATGGGCGAGTGTTGCAATTCAAACCAACCCTTCAGCAAAGGTAATGTGTAGTATTATGTCAGAATCAACAATCTTTCCAGAACCTTCCATCCTCTGTAAAACCCAAGGATGCTGTAATTCTAAATCTATTGCAAACTAGCGATGTCTATATTCCAACTTGCAATCCATTCAAATTTTAATCTACCTGAACAGTGCGAGAAAATAAATAATATAAAAGACTCTGAATTAGAAACCAAGAGTATTTCACTGTACGAGGAAATGAAGATGGGCGAAATAAATAAACTTGATGAACTACCTCAGTTACATAAACAAAATATTTTCATCTTTTAATAGCTGAACCGTTATGTTATATAATAAATTTAGCTCTTCAATATGGTATTTATCCAGAACGTTTAAAAACAGCAGTTGTAAAACCACTTTAGAAAAAGGGGAACCCAGTAACGTGTGCAACTCAGGCTAATCAGCTTTTTTTATCCAGTTTTTCCAATGTTTTTAAGTCTGTCATAAAGAAACAACTTACTACCTAACAACGGTTAATAGTAATTAGAATCAAATAACGCACAAGGATGCGTATATCGCGAGGCCCTTTGGCCTGGGCAAAAAAAGGCTGATTGACCTGTAGTTGCACATGTTACTGGGGTCCCTTTTTTTTCTTTGGGGTCCCCTTTTTTTCTTTGGGGCCGAGTACTTTAATTTTCGAGCCAAGTAATATCATTTTACTGACGAGTTTTGTATTAAATTTCAATTGTCATATACTATGCGATCAAAAATGAGTTGCTGTCGGGTCACCTTTGGAATTTTTGTTTACATGGGAAATCGTACTCAACTTGAACTCCCAAAGGCAACTCAACAGCAACTCATTTTTGATCGCCCGTTAGAACATTTGATTAATGCCAATCTGTCAATGATCACAGGAGTCATTATAGACATTTAGCAATGTGACTGCGCTAAAGGAAAAGTGGCAGGTGCGGCCGGTAAAGTGACAAGTGCGGCCGGTAAAGTGACAGGCGGCAGGAAAAGTGGACTGGCCTCCCTCTGTCATGGAAACTAACATTTTCCTGACATAAAGTAGGCATGAAATAGCTATTTGTATAACAAGGGAGGAAAGTTAAAGATTCCCTCCCGCGTGTGAAGTTTAATGCCCGACGCGAAGCGGAGGGCAGTAATCACACAAGGGAGGAATATGTACTTTCCTCCAGAGTTATACATATGATTTTTTCTACTACCTCAACTTTAATTTAGCAAAGATTTCTACGGTAAGATGACCGCTTGCCATCTAGTTACCTACACTAAAAAATTTAGGATGTATCCATGGTGAAGTTATGTTGCCATGGTAGCGGTATAAACAGTACAGTAAACTTACACGAAGCTGCTGTTATACACTGAATGCGTTAAAAAAATTATGCAACAAATCCACATTGCTTACTGTGTACTGCTCAAGCTTTCACTCGCACATTCGATAATATAATATTTCAAATTGGGGTGGCAGTGCGCATGTGCAACGGATCCTAGTATTGCAAAAACGAGCTCCTTACCATGTAAAACTCCCTGTACTTAGGATATTTTTTAAAGAGTTAAAAATACTAACGGTAGTTGACACATATATCCTCGAAATATCTTGCTACGCGTTTAAAAACCAATCAAGTTTCATAAATCCCGACACACACGTAAAAAAACTCACTTGTATCCTTGTAGACATAGGACCACACTCTTTCAAAAGAATTTGTTATTCCGAGCGTGCCAAATTTTCAATGCCTTACCGAGCAATATTAAAGAAATTACTTCCTTTTCGAAATTGAGAATAACGCTCAAAAACTTTTTGATGGAGCAGTCATATTACCACTTGAGCGAATATCTCGAAAGATGATTTTATTGTTTATTGTTCATTGTATGCTTTACCTTAACATTATAATTTATGTAAAATTGACACATTGTTCCGTACGTTCTGTCCTTATACAAGTATATGGAATGTATTTCGTGACAAATAATAAATATGATATGATATGATAACAGTAGCTTGTGTACTGGTCGTTTCTGTAATTTTTCATCAGGAAATATGGAAATAGAAAGTGATTTAGAGGAAAACATTCCCTCAGACATTTTAGAAGAAGCTAATCAGGCATCGCTTGATCTATTGCCTGCAAAATCTAGGGACAGATACGAAATAGTTATTTACATAAAAGTCAGGAAAATGACACGTCATTACTGGCGAGGAAATTTGAAGTACGAGGCCCCTTTCGGGCCAAGCACTTTAATTTCCGAGTCAAGTAATGTCATTTTATTGATGAGTTTTGTATTAAACTTTACCCAAAATCGTAGTTTAATATAAAATTTCAATTTTCATAACATTTGGTTAATGTCAATCCGTCAGTGATGACAGGAGTCATTACAGACATTTAGCAATATGACACGTGCGGGCGGAAAAGTGATAGGTGCTGCCGGTAATGTGACAGGTGCGGCAGGTAATGTGACAGGCGACAGGAAAAGCAGTTTGGTCTGCCTCTGTCATGGAAATTAAACTTCCCCGACATAAAATAGGCATAAAAATGAAGGTTTCAGGACGATTTTAGGTAAACATAGTTACTTGCACATTATTTTCATAAAATAAAGGATGGAATTGCGTTTATTGCAGTTTGCTGTATGTCTTCGCGCATTTTAATATCGTCATATCAATGCGTTTTTCCATGGTAACATTGGAAGGGCGTGGTAAAGTTTATAAAACGGATTGCTTTTCCACTGGTTACCTACTACATTTATATTTAACGTATGTACAAAAACATGGTCGATGAAATTCATTATGACCTACAATTATCGAAATACAGCAAAAGAATGGACCTCTTAAGAAATGAATTTATTACGAGGTTAATTGAAAACTATTGCTATGTTAAATATTACAAATCAATAATTAAAAGCTCTAAAAAATATGCATAATTAACGACGTTACGACGCATCTGTCGTTAGGCAACCTTTCGTTCACCGCCGCGACGCTACTGGAAATTCAGCGCAGGTCTAAAGTACGCCAACGGTTTTTTGTACATTATAATGTTGAAATATATTTGTAAACCTTTCATGCAAAGTGGTTATGCAAAGAATATGAATGAAGGCTAATTATTTCCATATTGAGGTATGTACTTCCAAAATTGGGAATGTAAGTGAGATATGTGCGTGTGTGACAAGCATGGCCAATCAATATTCCACCTACTTACTTAATTTATTCCATTTTTAGATTTTGGTCCTCTACATGTTATCACTGATACCATGGCCGGGACCGACAATATTCAAAATATCATGCCCAAAAGATAACGCAAGAATAGTGAGAAAAATAATCCAAAATAAATGGATTCCCGTTTTAGAGAAATATAAAGTTAGTATTCCATTAGAATGTCCTTTTCATCCGTTTAGAGATATTTTTGGGCCACAAGAAGCGGCGAAACAACAGCACCGGCCGTCTCAGTGGACTTGCGGTTTATGTGGAAAATCTTTTTTTGAAGAAAAGTATTTGGATTTACATTTTGACAATCGCCATAAAAATTATATTAATATGGTAAGATTCTAAATTGAAACAATACTCTACTGAACTGAATACCTGTTACCGTTAGGCAGAAGATGCCGTGTGCCTTGCTGATTACTGCGATATAATTCGGTGCGATGTACTAAAAACACAAGATGAAAAAATTGTATATCCAGACACTGTAAATACGGACATTGAAATTTGGAGAGAGACTTCCACTTATAGAACCGAACTGATTTCTACAATCCCCAGAGAGGTAATGAAGTATAAGTCAAAATCTTTGCCTACAAAGAAATCGAACGGGCCGTCAAAACAAATAGATCATTGCCAGAAGTATGATAATCTTAAGGAGGCAAAGAAAAATAACGGTACCTGCACGGTTGTAAATGGTTTCGATTCTATACTCCAACTTTTAGAGGATGCCAATTCCAGTAGTGAGGACGATAAATCCCAAAATAATAGTTTTAATGGAGTATGCCAAAATGATCTAGTCGATTCTGCATTGCCGGCCTCTGACAAGCAACAACGTATTGCAGAATTACAAAAACTTAAAGCGAATTGTAAACCGGAGGAATTGCAGTTGCTAAAGACAAAATGTGAAATATTAGTGAGAGATTGTATTGCAGGGTTGTTAATACATTTGTCGATTAAGGATTTTAAGGAAATAGAAGGTAACAGATTTTTGCTTGCGTAACGCATTCATAATAATTGTAGAGGAGTTGAATCGTGCAGTGTGTTGGTATTTGACGTGTGATAGATATTGGGAGGACTCGCAGGGAGATTTCCGGCAATTTCCATGGGGTTTATTGTGCATGATAGTAATGGTACTATCTTTGGGGATCTGCATATGTTACTACATCATATGGGTTTTATTTGAGTAAGTGTTTTTTTTATTCATGTACCATTATGTAACATGTTCAAACAACGAGATTAGCACGGATGATGTCAGCGTTACAAGTGCGAGTATGACGGACAGATCAACTCCTTCACCGGCGCATGCATTGAGACATGATGCATCACAAAGTAGTGATGGGCACCAGCAATATAACGAAGATTATTATGGAACTTCTGATAAGGACAATGAATATATTTATGTTACCTACCCACCAGATCTGAAGCGAAGGTTGCTCGAAAGGTATATCCATAGACATCACAAAAAAACCTACTTATTGTTATACATTATTTTTGTGCGGTACCTAAACTCCCTACCCTCAGAACAACATTCTTTTTTTTTGCACTATTTACATTATGCAAGGACTAACTCTATTCCCCATGATACACTTAACAAATGGTACTGGCAGTCAGTGATCAGCATTTACTTATGTAAACAGAAATGCATGTCAAATCTGCCAGAAATCTACACCTTTTACATATAGCATTAACATCCTTAGAAAGTGTTAACTATGGTAACAGCGGTTTGTTGTTAATTTTAACAAAATTTAATTCTTGTGAGAATATTCTATGGCCAAATGTGAATTTCAGTTCTTTTAAGTTTACCTACCGTCTTATCTTGTTTAGTGCTGCTAAATATGTTCTCCCATATCCTAGTTACAATAAATTTAGACCGATTAGCTATATTAACCTAGCAGAAGCCCTGAAGCAAAAGAAACAGCAGTGCAAATTAGTAATAATTAATTGGGTTCTTCCCCACTTGCTGTTTCTTTTATCTTCAATGCCAGATTTTATGTAGATAAAAAAATTGTCTATTAGAATGAAATTAGGTCATTTAAACTATACCATGGTCTTCAATAGATAACAAGAGATTTCCATTGTAGTTGCTACAATCGTACCACACGCTTGTAACCGCTAGTTCTACAGAATGACTGGCCATGTAGATAATCCAGCAGCACCTCCAAGAATCCAATATAGAGTAGCGTCATGCTGTAGCCAGTGCTAATTACTACGCGATCAAAAATGAGTTGCTGTCGAGTCACCTTTGAAATTTTTGTTTAAATGGGAAATCGTACTTAACTTGAACTACCAAAGGCGACTTGACAGCAACTTATTTTTGATCGCCCGTTATTATTCAATCTCTTTTATACACTAGTGATTTACAGTTAGATTTTTTGCTTTTTACATCTACCTAACTACCTATACTTTCGAAACGCTGCATGTTCTTTAGTAATTTCAAATAGTGTTTTAATACCTACGTATTTCAAATCTGGTGTATTTTTCAAGAACAGTTGATATTTCTACAGTTTTTTATATTAATAAAATGAATTATAGGATCTATATTGCGTTAATAAAATTGCTTACTAAATTCTTGATCAATTGTTTCATATTTTCCTGTAGTACCACCAATAGGCCGCCTTAACTAAGAACTACGTACCTATCTAAGTTGTTTTTAGCGTAACACAACGAAGTAGAGGTAACGCTTATGTGCTCGATTTTTTCTCATCTGTCTGTCTGTTTCATCGAGGTCTGGGTCTGGGCCCCTGTGCCACCTAGGGATTTCATTTACAGTTGCATTACGCGGCAACACCCACGAGTGGGTTTTGCGTGGGTTTTGAAACATTTTTTGTTCTGTTTTCTGGGCGAAGAACAGTATCCATCATCAAATAGGACTCAGTAATTTTTTATTTAATTTTTTATTCAATGACCCAGTTTTGCTTAACATTAATAAACTGTAGTTGCATTAGTTAATATTTATTTACTTGATAAAAGGAATCGCTACCGTTTACAATCATAATAATCAAATATAGTGAGATATAATATCCTCTAAAAAAATAAGAAGAAAATCAAGGAAAAAGAAATCAAAAATAAAAGCCTGGCCAAGTTGAAAAAAAAATTGTTTGAATTCAAACATTAGGCACAACAATAAAAGAATAAAGAACTGTATACATGATTACAAATATAAACTTGGTGACATCAATCAATCATATTAAATATTTAATTTCTATCTTTTTGATTATAAAGAAATACTTTTTTTAATAGAAGTTTGCATAAGAAAACGAGCTAGATATTTAAAGTTGTGGGTGGTTTTGTTTTTGAAAAATCGCGATAGGTGGTGACATACGTCTAGGCCACACACCTCACATCAGAAAGAATAGCAAAACGGGAAAAGATACGAAACACTGTATATTAGCAATAGTTCTCTCAAAAAATGCAACTTTTGTCCTTACGTGAACAACAAAAAAAAGAATTTGTTATTCCGAGCGTGCCAAATTTTCAATGCCTTACCGAGCAATATTAAAGAAATTACTTCCTTTTCGAAATTTAGAATAACGCTCAAAAACTTTTTGATGGAGCAGTCATATTACCACTTGAACGAATATCTCGAAAGATGATTTTATTGTTTTATTGTTCATTGTATGCTTTACCTTAACATTATAATTTATGTAAAATATTTATATTTATATTTTACACATGACACATTGTTACGTACGTTCTGTTCTTATACAAGTATATGGAATGTATTTTGTGACAAATAATAAATATGATATGATATGATATGATATGATGATATGAAAAGGCTGTATCGTCTAAGAGTAAAAAAGTTAGTATGGGGACACCTATGAGTAAAAAATAAATACTCGTAGTCGGCTTTAGATAAGTAGAAATCACCACCGACTTATCTATGGGAAGCAAAGGTTCGAACTCGTTTTGATACTACTGTTCTATTTTCCAATGGAGTGATAAGATACATATAGAAGTAGGCACAAAAGAAAGATTAAACGACACTACTTATGTAGTATTATACTATTATTAGTATAATCGAATAAAATGAAAGAATGCAATCGTACAGAACAGCATTTTCATTTATATCAGCCATTGACATTTGAACACCAAACAGTTTTTAAAATTACCAAAACAAGGCTTGTAAGCTCTTTCACAAACACCTACCAGAAGGATCTTTTGGGACTCCAAAAGATTCTTGCAGATTATCTGCTCACTCTTTAAGATCCTTGAAAACTTTTAAAAGTGCTCACAGTCTCACAAAGGCTCGTCTGTTAAAGAGGGGTAAGAATCTCAAGAATCTAAAATCGTTATTAAAGGCTCTTAAAGACGTTTATAGAAACTTTTAAAAATTTGAGAATCTTAAAAGAGCCTTTAGAAGACAGATTTTTATAAGGGCTTTTAAACCCCTATACACTGTTGGGAAATCTGAAAGGCTTAAATGCAATATGTGATATCCTTATAATTTGAAACAGGAATTTTCAGCATTATGAAATAGATTTGCCTAAAGGAAGAAAAACACATATGTATGGAAGATCAGAATTGCTTTAATGAGAGAATATTGTCTGAAATATCAAAAATGAAATGTATGAAAATAAAAAATACCTTGGCGATATGAAACATAGCGTATAGTACCTACTACAATACAAATATGTACAAAAAATGCCTAAACGATTATGTGGAAAGAGCTTCATCCTTTTTTATATTTTCCGCCTTATCCCACAACTTAATGGTGTTTACACACGCAGTTAACACGACATCCTTCTTTGGATGAACACATAATGAGTTTAGTACTTTTCCCGATGTATGTAATAACTTTCGTTCAATATTCCCACTTACAAGATTCCAGCAAAACAATTCCCCAGTGGCGGATCCAGACAAAACATGATTGTCAGTATAGCTAATGGCGCTTTGAATGGTCATTTCGTTAGTACGATGTCCAACATATCTAAAGAAAGACACCAAATTAGGCAGATTCCACAAACTAGAAAACTAGTACATACTCTCCGAGTAGTTCTCCAGTGTTTTTGTCTAGTAATCGTATTGTATTATCCGATGAACTGGCTAGTATACATTGGCCATCACGTGAGAAACTTACAGATGTAATTGGTGCTAAAAATGATCTGTGTAGACATTATGCTTCAATACAAATCAGTAATACCTCCTACAAAGTCAACGTGACATGCACCATTTCGTAAATCATACCGTCTGATAGAGCAGTCAACAGATCCAGTCAAAATTTCGGTATCAGAAACGCAAATGGACGTTATGCAATCCTTGGCCTCGTTTAAAACCTGAATCGGTTCGTTTCGTCGGGAATTCACATCCCAACACATAACCGCATTATCTAAACCTCCGGAGATCGCAACGCTGGACTCTTCGTTGAAGGTAACACAGTTTACTGTGCTGGCATGCCCGCGTAACCTACGAAGAGGTTGTCCGGTTGATACATCCCATAAAATGACTGATTTGTCCGATGAGCAGGACACGATTCGACTGCTGTCGCAGGATGAGGCACAATCGAGTACTTCGTTTCCATGCCCGTAGTAGGTCTTCAATACTAAGTTTCGGTATGGATTCCACAGTTTTATTTTTCTGTCTGAACCACAAGTCATACAATAGGAACCATCGACTGTAAAGTGGTAACATAAAAATTGACTTAACCTCAAATACTTACCATTAAATCGAACAGATCTAATAGCACCCTGATTGCAATCTATTGTTAACATGCACTGCAGATTCCACTTCTCATTCGTCATTTTATTTTACCTTTAATTACTAGGGAAAATTTAGGTTAGCTTTAGGATAAGGAGAGCAAAGGACTCACAACTGTACATTTATTGAATAAAAACATGTAACTAAGAACTGCCTAATTGTTTAATTCGTTCATCTAAATTATGCATTAAGGTATTTTGGTGTATGTTTAAATTCTGTACTAATTGCCCTCCTAAACTATCCAGTGTTCGTACCAGGTCAGCTTGTGCAGTCTGAATGTTTGGTATCGCGCTGTAACTTACAAGTTCATCTTTGCTTAAAAACTTCCCCTCGTAGATTCCAGCTGAAATGTGCCATTTAATAACACTTTACTCAAAAAAGAGTGTTACCCATCAGTATAATTTCTGGAAATTTCTTCGATATCTTCAGCAACTTTTTAATTTCAGGTTCTGGACTGAAAACTATGAAGTTGCGTGACACGTACAATGATAAAGCTGCTTCATATGCCGTTCCCTTTACTGCCAATTCCATTGTACGCCGCCCAAAATTTTGAAAATGCATTTTCTCTTTCTTAAATGACGCAAAAGCTTTGAACTTTTGGTCACTGCTCATCGGATTCATGTGGTAAAACGCTACTAATCGCGAGCTTTGGAACCATCTAAACACTTCGCCTGCAATTATTTCCTGATATGGATTCTCGCCATCCTTCGCGTAAATATTGCCCTTATTGCAAAACTCTATCGGAGTTTTTACTTTTCGTGGAAACATCGGCTTGGTAAGTTCTAAAAAGGTAGCCTTCACATGATGTGGGAGTTGAGGTTTTTGAATGTTTATTTTGGAACGAAAGCGAACTGACTGAAGTAGTGGTGATGGTGGTGAAAGGTGGAACACTAAAATAGTCAAAGTTAATAAAGTGCTAATTACACACACTGACACACTTCTTACATTGCTTTATTAATAGCATTGTGGGTTTTAAAAATTAAAAGTATAAATTCTTAAATTATTACATTAATGTGTGGTTATGTTATTTGAATTTGCAGTTTCTGTGATCTCTCAGAGATGGCGTTCTGTTTATTCAGTGTTGCACAATTTCAGTAGAACTGAAGAAAGGGAACACATCAATTTCTAGACGGTTGCTTCTGAAAAGAAAGCGCGAGTTTTATATTTGTAGGTACCTTTTTGTGTGTGCTTTTTTTAATATAGATTACCCATATTTATATAAAAATTGTAAGACGTCTGTATTTTATTCAATTTCACTTGACATTTCGTGTTCGACACCTGAATAAACATCCATTTCGTACACGCCCTGTATACCACTTGTGACAGCGTCTCTTGTATCTACTAGATTGTGTACATTAAGCATTAACCCTACTTTTTAAATCAGTAATCACTAAAATGAACGAAGGTTTGTTTTGATTCAACTGATCTTATTCACATTGTCGAAATTCTAGATTTAGGTGCGGAAATAAAAAAATATGATCTTGAAATTCAATCTATCGAATCGGAAATAGCAAAACTGCGACAGAAACTGAACAAATTAAAAACCAAAAAGAATGAACTCGAAAAACAACACAATTTAGTCAAGAGTTTTGATAAAACTGCGGAAGACTTGTATAAAGGAACTGACTTTCCTTGGTCTGCAAACCTAACTGCACTACTTCGGGAAAAATTTAAACTAGAAGAGTTTAGACCTACACAATTAGTGGCCTTAAATGCGACATTATCAAAGAAGGATTTACTTTTGCTTATGCCAACAGGCGGTGGTAAAAGTCTGTGTTATCAACTCCCTGCTTTAGTTGGAAAAGGAACTACTTTAGTCGTTTCTCCTTTGTTATCATTAATTGAAGATCAACAGATAGCTTTAAGAAAATTAGGTATTGTGAGTAAATCGATTAACTCGAGTACACCTAAGGAAATTAAAAAGGAAATTAATGATTACTTATCGAAGGGTACTAAGCCGGTTATTAAATTGTTGTATGTTACACCTGAGTGGTTAAGCAAAAGTAAACTATTTAAATCCTATCTACAGAAATGCTACGCAATGGGAAACTTGGAACGTATAGCCATTGGTGAGTTGTCTCTAACTCCCTACAGAATGTCATCATTTTAATTTAAGATGAGGTGCACTGTTGTTCGCAGTGGGGTCATGATTTTCGTCCAGATTACCAGTTTCTTAGTTTATTAAAGGATATGTTCCCCAATGTTCCCATCATTGGGCTAACTGCAACTGCCACCCTTTCGGTTCTGTTTGATGTACAGAATATGTTGAATATCAAAGGATGCTTAATTTTCAGGTCATCTTTTAATAGGCCAAATTTATTTTACAAGGTTAATATTCCAGATTGCTACAAATGCTATATCCGAATGCCCTTCTGATTTCATAACTCACCTGGTATTCACATTCAAGGGGGAACCACTTGAAGGTGCATTGTACATAGGCATTAGACAATACTCTTAAGATCTTTATGGATAGTAGATATGAATACTATAATTCATATCCTATAGGAATTTACAAAAGAATAACAATGAGAATGAGTTTCTCAAACTGTGACAATACGTTTATGCACGATACTTTCAATGCTTCCAATTAATGTACAGTGATATTTATTAAGAAGTAGAGGGATTTATGTGTACTCTTTCAATCTCTTCAAAATTACTTCTTAAAAAAAAAATATAGATGTGGTCATATGTGTATGTGGTCAAACTTCTTGGTTTCGTTATCAGGAATACACTCAACTTCACGAATATACAGACAATGCTAACCTTATATAATGCGTTTATTAGATCCAAGCTTGAGTATGCTGCATGTATCTGGTCTCCTCAAACTCTCAAAATACTCAGACATGATCGAAAAAGTGCAGAAAAAGTTCATCCGAGTAATGTTTTTTAGGTCAACCCAAAATTATCCACATTTGATCTCTTACGGTACCCAGCTTAATTACTTAAATAGTACTTTCGGCTTAGATATAACGAGGTTAGAAACCCGACGGTACATTGCCTCCACAATTTTTGTCTTCAAAATTTTACACAACTTGTTATACTCTTCCGAATTACTTCAAGTAAGCTTAAGGTACCATTTGTTAAGCTAAGGCAAAATAATACTATTTTTGTAGTTAACAACACAACTTCCCCACTTATTAAGATCTTGATCACTTTAAATAAGTTATCCTCAGTTAATGATATCGACTTTTTTCACGATCCCCTAAATTCAATAATAAATAAAATTAGATCTTAAGTCCTAATATTTGTTCAGACCCCCAGTGCCATGTAATTAGAATTTTTATTCTGTATGGTTTCTGGTTAAATAAATAAATAAATAAATAAAATATTAATTAATGTGAATGTTAATGCTTTGGCGTCAGCGTATTTTAACTTTTGTGCGTGTGCGAACTGAAGAAAAAGTTGACATTTTCAATTGGTATAGTGCCTTAAGGCTGTTCCAAAATTTGTAAACTTTTGAGGGTATGTAACATACTTTACCATGATTTAATTTATGCTGTACATGACCTGTATAAGTGGTTTCCCTCGATATATACATTCGATTAGGCATTATATAAATCATTTTCTTTTTAAGGTAATACCTAAGCCTCAACAAACTGAACAGTGTTTAGAGTATCTTGAAGGTATACTAAAAAATAAGTTCAAAAACAAGTCCGGAATCATATATGCCTTGAGTATAAAAGACACAGAGGATTTAGCGCAAGCACTACGGGGTCGTGGTCTAAAGGTACGCCCGTACCACGCGAATCTCGAGCCAGAGTTACGACGCAAAGTACACGAGAAGTGGCTAAACGACGAGTACCAAGTAGTTGTGGCTACAGTCGCATTCGGAATGGGCATCGGTAATTGAGTTAAAGTAACTATTCAATCATTTGATTCCTTTAGATAAACCGGACGTACGTTTTGTGATCCATCACTCGATTCCAAAAAGTATGGAAAGTTTGTATCAAGAAAGTGGTCGAGCTGGAAGGGATGGGAAGGCGGCAAAATGTATTGTGATGTATCGCTTTAGTGATTATTTTCGTGGTAGCGCTATCGTCAATTCTAAAACCGAGGAAACCAAGCTTCGCTCTGTTCTAGAATATTGTTTAGATTCCTCGACGTAATGTATATTTACAGACTGAGGCGTTTTTGTTAAAATATTTTTTAGATGTCGGCGTAAATTGCTAGCAACACATTTTGATGAAAAATGGAATAGTAACGAATGTAATAGAAATTGCGACAATTGTAAAACTTCAACTTCGGTTGTGTGGTACAACATTACACCCGTTTGTAAATATGTGTACGCAATCATTGAGAAAGCAGAGAAAAACGAAGTTCATCTTACACTGTTAAAACTCCTTGACATCTGGTTTAAAGGAGGGGATAAGAATTTAAGAGTTGAGGATGTTCCGATGCCAAAGGTTGAGAGACATCAAGCTGAAGTAATAGTCGCTTATTTACTGATGAAAGGTTATTTAGTAGACTATAAAAGTTATACTGCTTATGCGACTAATTGTTATATTCAAAAAGCACCGGGGTGTTCTCTTGCTCCAGGTACAGTAATTGAAATCCCCATTTCAGCCAGCGTCACCTATCGCGGCCTTTTGAAAAGAAGTGCAGATGCTGAAGGGGAGCCCGATTCTAAAATCATAAGACTGGATTAAGTTATGTTCTAACTAAACAATTTTTGTGATCTAGTTTTTAACATGTAACTAGTTAATAAACACTACTTTTAGAGTACATCTTGATTCCCCTATACCTTTTTAAACTAAAGTAAATTTATTAAATTTTAATATAAAATATAACACATCCAGCCACTTTGTATGTAGTAGTGCATAGGAAGAAAATAAATTGCTGGAACCGTTAGTTGAAGAAATTCGCCTAAATCTTCAAATAAAACTGGAAAACTATAGTTACATTAGGCAACACATCATGCAGGCCTCTTCGTACTCCTCTGAGCACCTAACTTGCTAGCCGATCGTGGCTAATTAATTATTTCTAATTGGAGATGAAGGGCTGATTCTCAATAACGTACCTACATGAGTGACATCCCTAACAAATTTTTATTGCAAATATGGCAATTACGGATTCTACTAACGCGAAATTTAAACTTTAAATGTATATTTTACTTTTTCAATGTATTAAGGGTAGCCTACCGTGACATTGCTTTAGTGACGTCACAACTGGAGATGGGCCACTGCAACGCGATACCAAGACCAAGTAATCAACATCAATAAACATAAATTAAGCAAGCATTACACCAAAAATGTAAACAATTACAAACAATAGCATAACGGTATCACACATATGATTGCATTGCGGTTAAACCAAGTAAATTTCAAAAACAAATATTGAAACACACAAAAAATATAAAATGCGGCAAACAAAACACAAATAAGATATAAAGAAATGCAAAAATTACTACCTGCATTAAATAACACAAAATAACAACAAACATTTATGGAGCGAAACGTTCACGACCGCCATTCAAGACAAGATGCCAAAAGTAACTCCCGTTCGTGCTTTCTAGGTGGCGCAAGCAGCTTTTTCCCACCTAGAAATTGTATGGTTGCCAACTCTCAAAAATGTATGTATCGTCGTAAGTTGTATATACAGGGTGGAACCTTTCAGTACTTATCTAAAAAGCGCAAACGGTTTGCAAACAATTCGATCTGGCAAACGCACCCTATCGTTCACCAGCACCTAAACAGTTTGTGTTTGCAAACGTAATCAAAGCGCAAACACGTTTGGTTCTGGTGAACGCACCCATTGATAAAAAGCAGCCAAACTAGGTAATGA